GTGAACCTGCACTTCTTTAGGACTCGCCGCGATGATGATTCAGATATGCTTGAATAATGCCGAGATGCTTTGTGCCATGCATTTCTGTTCATCATCCAAGAGACGAGATCAATTGGTTTTCTGAGAATGCTACTAACTTATTGTCCTGAGTTCCATGGAGGGGAATATTTTGTGGGCCTTGTAAATTGGATACCAAAATGACCGGCAAAACCGTATTTCTTTCAGATTTAATCTGGATACGAAGATATAAAGATAGGTTGGAAATTGTCAATACTTTCTTGGGCGATGGACAACTCTGAATTTCATTTCCAGAAACCAGAAGTTAATATCGAAATTACAAGAGCTGCTTCTCTTGACGTCTTGTCAGAGTGGACACTTGTCTGATCATTGAGATCAGTGGTTGTACTCTAATCCTTATCAACGACAAGATTTTCAAGAGTTTTATGGGGCTCAAATTGTTCAGTTTTTCTTCTGAAACTGCAACACTTTCTGCATTCCAAATAAGCCAAGACATCAGTGGCTTGGACCAGTAACTTCTTTCTGCAAGCAAAGATGAGTTTGGATTCGTGAGTTGATCCATGGGACCATCCATGGAGATGTTGGTGTGTGGCCGTTTGCAGTTGCGTTCTACTCCCAACCACCCTACAAAAGGTCCTAAGGAGCTTTTAATAGATACAACTTCTTCTAAAATCTTCAGCTCCTCTACACGATCCAGATTCTAACATAAATTATTCTAAAAATTTGTAATTATGAAATTTATAAAAAATAAACTAGAAACAAGAAGCTGCAAAACCCAACTTTTTATATATTGTAGTTGTGAAATTTAGAAAATAAACTACAAACAAGAAGCTATAAAATCCAACTTTTCTATATTCTCATCAACTAGTTTCTCGCCCACTACTTCTCAAAACTTGAACTCCCCCAACAGGGTCAAAAGCTAGTGAGTGCCCTGTTGCTTCTGGCACACCTGCTTTTGTGTGCAAACACTGAGTAATTATCCATGTCCTGTCAAACTGATTTTATTAGCATCCCTGATCTTGATTCTGGAAGCCTCTCTTGATTTGATTAGAAAAGGCACTATAGCTTGAAATGAAGGGAACCGGCCACTAACATGAGCAGTTCAGGAACCTTCTTCTTGGGAACTTATTGTAGTAGTATTTATCAGTAATAAACCTAAAGTTAGTATGTTGGAAGGTAGAATTTTTATCTGAAAGTAGCTAAGGTTGGCAAGGGAACCAACTCCACAGATGCAGTTGAATGTGTGATTAGGCCTTGTGTGAGTGACCAGGTCAATGATGTCAGTTCTTGTGTAGGCACCATGCTATTAGGTTCTGAATTTCTGATAATAAAGTTTTCTGTAAAGAACCTCTTGATCTGCCTTGATACTACATCCAAAGAAAATAGTACTACCTTTTGGTTAGTTTAATTCTTACATTACCTTTTGCCATCATTCAGAACCTTCGGTCAGCACAATTGTTTACTGGTACTGTACCTCATGATTCAGGTGTCTCCAGTCACTGTAACCATTTCTCTGAATTTAACATACTGAGCAGCAGAAACATATCTGGATTGGGAATTCTGACCAGTTTCTACCTAAGAGCAAAAAGTAGGCTATAAGCCGGCTAAATGCTGAGTTGGAGGAAAGAAGAGAGGAGAGAGAGGAGAAGCGGGTTGTAAACTAACAGCCGGCTTGGACACAAGAACCAAGAAACTCTGTGAGAGAGACAAGTGGGCCATGTATTAATTGTGAAGAGCTAACTATTATATGGGTAGGCTGAGAGAAGACTATAAAGAACCTTATAGCCAGCAGATCGGCTGTATTATTAGCCTTGCACTAAGCAGTAATTATTAATTAATTACCCTGCCTAACTTTCTGTTTATGGTGACAAAGTGTGCAGCAGAATTTCTGACAGGAACAGCTCCTGTGATTCTCAGCATGGCACCTCTGATTTGGGGCCTGTTTAGTTCACAATTTTTTTTTCCAAAAACATAACATCAAATGTTTGGACACATGTATGGAGTATTAAATATAGATAAAAACAAAAAACTAATTGCACAGTTAGAAGGGAAATCGCGAGACGAATCTTTTGAGTCTAATTAATCCATGATTAACCATAAGTGCTACAGTAACCCACATGTGCTAATGACGGATTAATTAGGCTCAAAAGATTCGTCTCGCGGTTTCCAGACGAGTTATGAAATTAGTTTTCTCATTTGTATCCGAAAACCTCTTCCGATATCTAGTCAAACGTTCGATGTGACATCCAAAAATTTTCTTTTCCCCACCTAAACAGGTCCTTGATGTGGTAGATGCGTGCAGCCATTTGTGTTGTGATTTGTGAACAATAATTCAGTTATTTCCTCTGAGCTCTGGTCAGAGAGGTCAACGCCTTAGTGCAGCTTTGACCCGCTGATAAGCTGATACGCGTCTAATTAGCTCTTTCGGTGGCGTACACGCGCTGCGCTGCGTATCTGCATCACACTGACCTGTTGCCTTGCACAACGAGCTAACTGATAATTGAGCTAAACAATTAATTCAATCATTCAACCCAAGAATTCAAATCGAAAATGTTTTTGACGCTTTCAAATTTCTAAAATAGCAGGCATTTCGCTATCTATTAATTTAATTAGTGACGTGGAATCGCGTACACCATAACAGGTACTACACACGTTTCAATTACTTATCATTTTTTTTCCTAAGTTAAACATTACTATTTTTATCAACTCATTTAAAAATTTATAGTTTACTAGCATGCGAATTGTGTACTTATAAAATATTGCTAATAGTGAATACTAAAACTCTGTAATTATAGTTTATCATGATGTTAAACTCGGTAATTTTCTTAAAAAATAATATTTAAAGATACTCATGTTTAACTTGGAAAAGACTAAAACAATGAGTAATTTGAAACATAGTGTAAAAATGGTTAGGGTGTGTTTAAGTTGTTTTGGTGTAAAGTTTTTGAAGTATATGGACACACATTTGAAGTATTAAACGTGGACTAATAACAAAACAAATTACAGATTCCGCCTGTAAACTGCGAGATGAATTTATTAAGCCTAATTAAGTCGTCATTAGCAAATGTTTACTTTAGCATCACATTGTCAAATCATGGCGTAATTAAGTTTAAAATATTTGTTTCGCAATTTACATACAAACTGTACAATTGGTTTTTTTTTTCCACATTTAATACTTTCATGTATATGTTCAAATATTTGATGTGACGTTTTTGGCCAAAATTTTTTAAGAATCTAAACAAGGCCTGGCCGATGAACAAATCTTCTAGGGCCTCAATTATTAGGTTTCTGGGCCCGATGCACGTGCACTCATGCAGGGTGGTCAATGATTCGATTAAGACGTCGATCGGTCGCTGGGGCTAATCTCCAATCTCTTGTGGTGTTTTTGGGAGGTCAAGAAGGCAACGCAACGAGTGCAGCAACTGTGGCCACTAGCTGAGCCCAGCTTAAGCTAGCTTTGCCTGCCACTGTGTTGGATACCCACACACTTTGGATGATCAAATTAATCATCATCATTATCATTGTCATTATCATCATACTGCCACTAATTTAAAAGGCGTTTCCAACTGGGGCAGCAGCCACTGATCTTGAGAAAAGGTTAATACGTGTTTGTGCGTCTTAATTGTTGGATTAGTGGGTGTTTAGGCCACGTCGATCCGTGCCGTCTCCTGGGAAGATACTCTAATTAAATGGTCTTTTGGTAGTTATTAGTTAATTGATTTTGTTGTGTGGATTGCATTGGCCTAGCTTTCAGAAAGAGTATCTAGATTAGTGCTCTTTTCTTTGGCTCGATCTGGCCGCAGGATCGCTACATGACGTATACATATATATACACCTTGTCTTTCATTTTTTTTAAAAAAAAATAAATTCAGCACGCAACAAACAGTATAGTTTACATATGTATGAGATTACGTCATCACACAAGTGCTCTCTCTGTTCCAAATGGCAACATAAACCACGTGGCATGCCACGTTGGCCTGATACGATGTTCTATATATATCCACATGCTCTTTGGTTATTTTAGTCAAATTACTGGTCATATTTATGAGTTAGGACACGAGAGATGGACGAGTTAAACCCGGTTTGTATCTGTGGAATGATATCCCAGCAAATCTGGAAAATCACGTACGAACGTGCCAACAAAACACGGCACTATAATCACACGGATGCAGGTGGCCCATCTCATCATCAATCATCATCTCTGCAGCGTGACAGTAACATGAACACACGTCTCAGCCAGACACATATTTACGAGTAATATCTAAAAAAAAAAAAAAGACAAACCCTGGATTTCAGTGTCCAACGTTTAACCGTCCATCTTATTTGAAAAAATTATAAAAAAATTTTAAAAAGACAAGTCACGCATAAAGTATTAATCATGTTTTATCATCTAATAACAATGAAAATACTAATTATAAAAAAATTATATAAAACGGATAGTCAAATATTGGACACGGAAAATCAGAGTTTGTCTTTTTTTTGAACGGATGGAGTATGTAGCGGCTAATAGTCAGAATATACTGAATTTGTGCCTAACAAAAATTCGTCTGAAAATTGTGTTTCACATGCGTCATTTCTCTACTCCCCCCTCAAAAATTATTTTTTTGAACCCGTTTGTTTACCCGATTAATCGACGAACCGAGCATGCAAAAACCGGGAGATTTGCGTAGCCGAGCCACATACGGGTCGGGTCGGGTCAGGCTCGGTCGCACACGAGCCAGACACCCCGTGCCAACCTGCACCAACAGCGACCGGTGACGTGTCCCGTGTGCCCAACTTATCATTCCCCCCGCGTGGCCGCGTGCCACACGTACGCGCGCGTGCCGGGGGCTCCGGGACACGTCTCACTGACAGGTGGGACCCACGGCGCAGCGTCACGCGATCGCGACCCACACGCGGCGGGGTGGTGGGCCCCGCCGCCATAGTAATCGCTCGAGCTCGAGCTCGAGCTCGAGCTCGCCGCGCCGTGGCCGCTATATATATCCCTCGCCGTAACAACGCTCATCTCAAACTCACTCGCTCACACATACAAGCGCAGTTAAGATTAGTTAATCCAAGCTCTAGCTCGATCGCGCGGTCGCCGGAGCTGAGGTAGACGAAGGAGTGCGACGAGCTAAGATGGGTAGTGGAAGCGCGGCGAACGGCGGCGGAGGAGGGGCGGGGGCGGCGAGGGTGCCGATGCCGGCGGCGAAGCCGTTCCTGGAGACGCTGGGGGGGAACATGAAGGAGACATTCCTGCCGGACGACCCGTTCAGGGTGGTGCGGCGGGAGCGCGGGTGCGGGCGGCGCGCGGCGGCGGCGCTCCGGTACGTGTTCCCGTTCATGGAGTGGGCGCCGTCGTACACCCTCGGCACCCTCAAGTCCGACCTCATCGCCGGCATCACCATTGCCAGCCTCGCCATCCCCCAGGGCATCAGCTACGCCAAGCTCGCCAACCTCCCTCCCGTCCTCGGCCTCTGTACGCGCACACACACATACACATACAGTAGCTAGCTTAGACGCCATTGATGCGATGATGCATGACGACCAGGTGTTCGACATGTGTTCCTGGCTGCAGATTCGAGCTTCGTGCCGCCGCTGGTGTACGCGATGATGGGGAGCTCGAGGGACCTGGCGGTGGGGACGGTGGCGGTGGCGTCGCTGCTGATCGGGTCGATGCTGAGCGAGGAGGTGTCGGCGGCGGAGGACCCGGCGCTGTACCTGCACGTCGCGCTCACCGCCACCTTCTTCGCCGGCGTGTTCCAGGCGCTGCTGGGGGTCTTGAGGCTGGGGTTCATCGTGGACTTCCTGTCGCACGCCACCATCGTCGGGTTCATGGGCGGCGCCGCCACCGTGGTGTGCCTGCAGCAGCTCAAGGGCATGTTCGGCCTCGACCACTTCACCACCGCCACCGACCTCGTCTCCGTCATGAGCTCCGTCTTCTCCCAAACCCACCTCGTACGTACCTACACATTAAATTATACTACTCCTGTATATATCCGAGAAACGTTGAGGAGTCTTTTTGACTAGTTTCACAAGATTTTGACTAGTTTTACAAGATGATGGGCTAGTCGACCTGAATTTAAAACCTCCTCCTTTCTAATTATTTAATATAAAGTCATTTTCTAATATTCACGTTTTTTTTAATATCTAATTCGAATACACATACGTATGTACAGTACATGTACTTATGCATGTATACGGATGGATCTTTGCATTAGCCAAGCCAGTGTCGGTGTACATGTGCCTAATTCCTAGGTCCCAAAATATAAAAGATTTTAGGGGTGTATTTGAGAAGAAGGGGATTGAGGAGATTGAGAAGATACGCAAAACGAGGTGAGCCATTAGCTCATGATTAATTGAGTATTAATTATTTTAAATTTTAAAAATGGATTAATATGATTTTTTTAAAGCAACTTTACTATAGAAAATTTTTGCAAAAAGCGCACTGATTAGTAGTTTAGGAAGCGTGCGTGCGAAAAACGAGGTGCTTTTTCCCTCAATGTCCTTCAAACGAACCCTGTCTAGATAGAATATTTTATGTTAGTACGATAAATCTAAACAGACTCTATGTTTAAATTTGTTATAGAAAGTATCTTATCGGTTTAAAATATGATATATTTTGGAATGGAGTGAATAGTATTCTAGCTGCGTCGTGCGGCCACTGGCAATCTGTCTGTCCGCAACGGGGAGAGGTGACACAGGAGGACGACGACGAGTGTAACTGCGACAGGGACATGACCCTGCACCTGCAACCTCGTCTCGATCGATCTGTCCGGTCACCTCTCCTACCTAGGAGTATAGTACTAGACTATAGTTTCTTCTCGCGATGAAAACCGGAGAGTTTTTACAGCTCTAATCTACGATCAATTAAGCTGATTAATTAGTTTTTACATGCTGATTTGATCTACGAGCTGTGTGTGTGTGTGTGTGTGTGGTCGTGACTGAATTGGACTGACTGACTGATTGGTTGATTGCAGTGGCGATGGGAGAGCGTCGTCATGGGCTGCGGCTTCCTCTTCTTCCTCCTCATCACCCGCTTCTTCGTAAGTCCATGCTTAACACTCTCGTTCCTTTCCCTTTACTTTTGCTGTTGTAATTAACTCAAGCTAATTAGACATAGACGCATACTACTTTTTCTTTTTTTTTTTTGAAGAAAAGAACATTAAGGTCTAGATATGCATGCACTTTTACTCGAGAATAATATAGCATATTAATTAGCACATGTTACACTTTCAGTCTTTGATGAAGTGTGATCTAGGGATATACTACTTGGTACTAGCAGAAAAAAAAAAGTAGTGTATTAGCCATAAGAATCGCCGGTAAATGCCTGGTCCAATCATCCTAAAAGCAGTACAGTAGTGTGTATGACGACGACGAGAGAATCCATTCATGACGGGAAATCACACCACACACTAATACCCACGATTGCGACAACTAAAAGCTTAGCTTTGTGACACCATAATTAGGATAGTTAATGGCGATAAGATTCCGTTTTGCATTCGTGCATGTGTGGTCGTGTAGTAAGTAACCCCAAAGATATTATGAGTTGGGACAAGTAAGCCGACGGCAACAGTAGTTGAGCAATTCAGCTTGATTCTAGAGCTTGAACATTTCTGAAACAGTAGATTACAAGTTAAGAAAACTAAGGTAGGTTAGTCTTGTGGTTGAAGTAAAACTATGGTTAGTCTCTCTTTTGCCTAGTGGTTACTTACTTGTAAGATGTAATTACTGCCAAAGTCAAAACTGACAAAGTCTGCCTGAGAGGCATGATTAAGAGAAATTGTCATGTAATGTTTTGGAGTCACATGTCTGTATGTAAGGACACAAACTCGTGAGGCCAAGGGAATCGATCCATTGGTCACTTTTGGATAGCTTGCATATGAGCATATCTGATGACCTAATCCTCCTGTCCCCTATAAGGTTTCTATTGTCATCTTCTCCTTGGCCTGAATATTCCTAGCATGCGTGCAACTTCTATACTGATCTCTAACTTCGTCCTAAAATATAAGGGAGTTTGAGTTTTTATTTGTATTGTTTGACCACTCGTTTTATTCAAAAAATTTGTGTAAATATAAAAAACGAAAAGTTGTGCTTAAAGTACTTTAGATAATAAAGTAAGTCACAAAAAATTAAATAATAATTTTAAATTTTTTTGAATAAGACGAGTGGTCAAACAATGCAAACAAAAACTTAAAATCCCTTATATTATGGGACGGAGGGAGTACTAGTACTACATCCGTGATTTTCCTTTGCGTCTGAAAATGAAAAAACTGTCTTGCTTGAGATGCAATGATGGAGAGCAAGTTTTAGGCGTGCAAGTTGTAATTTTGCAAGTTTTGTATCATGCTGTTTTTTTCCAGTACATTTGACTTTGCATATACTGATGAAAAGTGACAGATAATTCAGTGTCATGGGCTGCTCACAGAATAGCCCAATAATTGCAAATGGCCAAGGTCCACCAACTGGTGATATCAACTTTTTTTCTATAGTAAATCCGTGAGCAACCTTGGAGAAAATAGGGCCCTCATCTACATTCTTGAGCCATGCATATCAGCTGATTATCCTAGATTTACTGATTTATTTCTTCGCGCCATCATCACTAATTTGAGTACTGATTTGACATGTGCAAGAATGAATACAGTCCTTGTGGAATTTAAGTTATGATCCAAGATTCCAATTTTATTTCTGAATTTCTAAGCTAACTGATCAATCTTCCTTTTCTTCAGAGCAAGAGGAGGCCAAGGTTCTTCTGGGTATCTGCAGCTGCGCCATTGGCGTCTGTCATCATCGGGAGCCTCCTGGTGTACCTCACACATGCTGAAAACCATGGCATTCAAGTGGTAAGCACAACAACTGATCAAAAACCTTCAACAAACTGCAAAACATAAACACAAACATGCAGTATAACATGGAACAGTACTAATTTACACGAGTGTTTTTACGATTTTCTAGATTGGTTACCTGAAGAAGGGCCTGAACCCACCGTCTGCCACAAGCCTGAACTTCTCGTCGCCGTACATGATGCTGGCCCTGAAGACCGGGATCATCACTGGCGTCATTGCCCTCGCTGTAAGCTTGAAAAATCGATTGATTTCTGCAGACATTAATTGCAGTTCTGCATTACTTGATCAGACCGGAGTGCTGATGTATACTGTCTGTTTCTACGAATGCAGGAGGGGATTGCCGTAGGAAGGAGCTTTGCAATGTTCAAGAATTACCACATCGACGGAAACAAGGAGATGATCGCGTTTGGAACGATGAACATTGTGGGATCACTCACCTCTTGCTACCTCACCACCGGTATGCACATTCGTGGTAGCCAGGATTCGAACTCGAGACCTCTGGGTTTCTGATACCATGTGTGTATGCAGGTCCGTTCTCGAGGTCGGCCGTCAACTACAACGCCGGCTGCAAGACGGCGATGTCGAACGTGATCATGTCGGTGGCGGTGATGATCACGCTGCTGTTCTTGACGCCGCTGTTCCACTACACGCCGCTGGTGGTGCTGTCGGCGATCATCATGTCGGCGATGCTGGGGCTGATCGACTACCCGGCCGCCGTCCACCTGTGGCAGGTGGACAAGGTGGACTTCTGCGTCTGCCTCGGCGCCTACCTCGGCGTCGTCTTCGGCAGCGTCGAGATCGGCCTCGTCGTCGCCGTCGGGATCTCCATCCTCCGCGTGCTGCTGTTCGTGGCGCGGCCGAGGACGACGGTGCTCGGGAACATCCCCAACACGATGATCTACCGGCGGATGGACCAGTACACCGCCGCGCAGAGGGTCCCCGGCGTGCTCGTGCTCCGCGTCGACTCGCCCATCTACTTCACCAACGCCAGCTACCTGCGTGAGAGGTGAGCAAGATGAACAGAATTCAGCAAGCAGATTCACTCACCTCGTGTCCAGCTTGAAAAAAATTTGGATCTCTTACCATGGTCGACTTGTGATGCTCATTCAGGATCGCGCGGTGGATCGACGACGAGGAGGACCAGTGCAAGGAGAAGGGCGAGATGGGCATTCAGTACGTCGTCCTCGACATGGGTGGTAAGTTGTTCTTGCATCTTGATGGCCATGATTCATCTGAAGCATTGCAAAACTGTAGTAGCATGAGGCCTGATCGATCTGTCTGAATGTGATGCAGCGGTCGGAAGCATCGACACCAGCGGGACGAGCATGCTGGATGAACTCAGGAAGACCCTGGACAGGAGGGGCCTTCAGGTAATTGCCATCTTCACTGCAAATGCATATACAAGGCTTCAGAATCAGCTTTGTTCAGAGTTTCTGCATCAGGAACCCAGGCTGATTCAGTTACCTGCCATTTCCTTTTCAGATTGTGTTGGCGAACCCGGGGAGCGAGATCATGAAGAAGTTGGACAGCTCCAAGGTGCTTGAGGCGATCGGCCATGAGTGGATCTTCCCCACGGTGGGCGAGGCGGTGGCGGAGTGCGACTTCGTGATGCACTCGCAGAAGCCGGGAATGGTCATGGGCAGTGGAGCACCCCATGAGAACCTGGTCTGATTGGAGAAGAACTTACTGTAGTATGGTTGAGTTTGATCAACCTGAGGTTGTCAACAAGCAAAGCCGAGATAAATATAAGCATCTCGAGTATTGTAGTACTAAGTTGTCAAGGAAGTTCAAAGGAAAAAAAATCACCTTTTTTTTTGCAAGGCGAAAATGATGAGCCTCAGAGCCTGTACAGATGCATTGGAGCTACTTCTTTGAAGTATTGACTCAAGATCATACCTTTTTTCCAAATATCCATCCTGAATTCTTGATTCTTGCATGATGATTGTCTAAAGAGAATGAGCGCCTACATGGCAAAAATGAAAATCATCAGGTGTCAGCTCAAAATTCATATACTAGTAATCGATTCGCAGTGCTGAAGGCAACACAAACATGCTACAAGGCATTGAGATTAGTACTCTTACCAAAAATCTGTGTTCAGTCCCAGAAAAACAAATAAGTGGCACTCAATCACTCACCACATCCAAACAAAGCAAGAGAGCTCAAAGTTCCTGCTTTTGATCAGGTAATAGAAGAGGACACTATACAATGCACAGGCATTTGCATCTGTACAATGTACTGCACTATTCCAGCATTCCTATCATCAACTACACTGAATCAACCACAGATATTCATTACTGAGTACAGAAATAAAAGATGAAATTGATATGTACGCAGTTATAAGAGAGCGAAAACTGTGTAACCAAAGGAGGCATTATACTATACATAATGGCGGCTTCATGACAAACACAAATCTTGGTAGCTTCACAGCAATCATATGGAGGCAATACAAGAGGAAACACATATGCACAATGCTTCAATTAATAACAGCATTAATAATATTAACTCATTACACTAGACATCACTGCCTCATTTCAGGACAAGAAAGGGAAATTTGAGTGCACGAGTTTCTTGTTAATATCATAGTGTTACTCATCTCAGAAGAGATCCTAAGAGCATCACGTTCTGTCAACCTATTGGGCTGACATGAATATGTTCCTCCTGCTACCTACTTAATGGTTAAGGCTCAGTTCTTGATTTAATACGGACACAACCACAGAAGGGTATCCTCTTCTTCTTCGTCTTCTGTCCGGCATCATTTTTGTCCTTCCTTGCAGTCATATAATCCCTCAAAAGAACGCGTGAACGTTTCTCAGGGGCTTTAACTCTTTTGTACTCATGCTCCTCTTCAAGCTTCAACAAGACATACTGTATCTTCTGAAGTTCCAATTCCAACTTTGCGACCTTTTCTGATCCTTTCTGCACTTGCTCTGAGATTTTTCTTCTGCTGGAATAGCCTTCTAGTTCAGCACTCACCTCAAATGCAGGGTAATTCTCAGCCTTCTTTGTCACATTACAGTTGAAATCTATCTGCTCCAAGACAGAGCCATCAATCTCCTGCAGCTGAGCTCTGATGCTGCTGTATTCAGAGCTTACGGTAGATTTTCCCTTAGAAGCACCCACCATTTTCTGCTTTATTTCTTCAATGCTGGCTTGGACAATAGACAGCCTCTGAGCATCAGAAGCTAGTTTATCAAGGACATTTTTGCTCCACAATTGCTGAGGTTCCAGGGACACTGCTGATATCTCAAGCCTGTCAATTCCTGGATCTCTTCCCCTTGCTAGTTCAAACGAAGGGTACTCACTCTTCACCTCCTCCACTGCTTGTATGTCATTCTCAGACGATGAAGATTTAGCTGTTTGGTTCTTGCAATCCCTCTCAGCAGTCTCCCACAGTTGAAGCATCTCATCGTCAAGCTCCACATTTGCATCGCCACCAAGAGGGTAGATGGTGGCACCAGTACCATATAGTGCACAAGTAGATACTTGATCAAGTTCGATGTCTTTCATGATCTGTACATGTTTCCCTTTGGAGTTATCAGCATCATACTTTTGCCTATCATCCTCGGTGCATTCTTCCTTAGCATTCGAGCCTTTTCTTGCTTTAAGCTCTTGAATTTCCATATTTGCCGCTTCCAGTTGAGCAACAGATTCAGTAAACTCCTTATCTCGGCGGCCTTTGGCATCCAGTATTACAACATGGAGTGCTTCAACTCTTGCAATTAAGCTTCGCAACTTCAAAGCTCCTGATGAATCATCTTGGGATTCTGGAACATGTCTGTCCTTTTGCACAAATTCCTGAATAAGCAAAACGTTAGGCCAGTAAAAGATAGGAGTAACAAAGAATGAATCAGTCAGCTGTGTAACTATAGTAGAACTAACTAGTTATGCCATAATAGCATGCTAATTGCGAAAACTTTCTTGTTCTATGTTACGAACTTACGACATGAAGCAACTTACCAATTTGCCTTCTTTATTAAGTTCTGACAGTAAAAGTGTGCCGTCTTCTAGCTCTTCCAGCGCTCTTATCTGATCAGACAAAGATGCTACAAGTGGCAGATATGCGGCCAACTCTGCCATCAGTCCTGCATTTTCTCCCCTCATGCTGGCGACCCTTTTCTGCAAGTCATCAACATAAGCATCTCTTGAGGAGATTTCCTTCATTAGCATGTCCTTTTCAGTAAAAAATCTTGTCTCAAGGACCTCACGCTCCATCATCATTTCAAGCACTTGTTCCTCAAGGACCATTGTATTCACTGAACGAGTTATCGTATCACATACCAGCAAAGTAATTTCCCTTTCATGCTGTTCAGCCTCTTTTCTCATCGTCTCAAATGTAGACATCAAACTCTCTTCCTTTTGTTCATGAATGCCAACCTCTACCTGCAGCGTGTTGTTTGCTTCGCGAAGAAGACGGGTCTCATTGTCTTGTACAGCACCTCGTTCAGTTAGTGTTGTGATTTTCTTCTCAAGGTCTACTTTTACTCCTTCTGCATCTTCTACAGCAACCTCAAGATCCCTGAGAACTCTGCACAATTCCTGGTTTCTCTCTTGCAAGAATTGAACTTTCTCATCTACTTTGCGTAATTTATCATCTTTCTGCATCAACTGTGTCATGCTACTGTTACATTCAATTGTTAATTCCTGGCAGATGATTTTGCTTGTGTTTGAATCAAACTCTGAAAGAACCAAGCGACTCCCCAGAGCCTCCAACAAGTTCTCTAGAGTGCACTTGAGGTGCTGAAAGTCCATTTCAAGAATCTTAGCTCTTCTGTTCAGCATGGTAACCTCATGATCAAGTTCATGCCTAACCGAACTCAACATAGCCATATCATTGTCAAGAGAAACCAAAACAGATGCAGACTCAACAGTAAGGTCATGAAAGAATGAAGACAGGAGGTCGAGCTTTATGCATTCTGCAATAACAGCAGCATTCTCATCATCCAAAGCATTGTACTTCTCAACTAAAACTTTGTACTCCTGCAGCAAGGAATCGTATTTTTTAGTTAGGTTGCAAATTTCACTTTGAGAAGTCTGGTAGGACTGTCTCAAGCCTGATAGCTCCTTGCATAATCCCAGTATTTCAATCTTCAACATCTCCTCCCTGTTGCCACCTAACTGCAATCTTTGCTCCAACTGTTCATTCAATTCAATAAGCTTGTGATTTTCCTTTTGCAGAAAAAGCAGTTCTGCTGCTCCTGACTCCACTTCTTCCACAAGTTCACAGTTCTGCTGGTGCAGAGCTCTGAAGCCAATTACTGTTTGTGCCAGAATTGCTCCAAGAACAGATAGCTCAGCATCCATGAAGACATTTCTCTCTTCGGTTTCCTCTTTATGTTTTACATGGTTGAAAGTTTCACGAGACATAGTCTGCAGCATAATTTCATCATGAACCACATCAGTAGGTCCTAAATCTTTACAGATATTGAGGACCTTAATTTGCTCTGAGATCCCATCCCTTAGTTTCTCATTGCGATTCAGCAATGCTTTTTTGTCCTCTTCTTCCTTTCTGGCTTCCTCCTTGAGCTGCGCAATTAGTACCTCTGCAGAATCAGTGGCCTGTATGAACTTCTGGCATTCATTGAAGAGTGCAAGATTTTTGTCTCTTGCATCAACCAAGCTATTTTCCAATATCAATGTGCTGATAGAAGCATCTGCACATTTTTGCTGCTCATGTTCAAGCATCTGATCCATATGACGAATTTTATCTTGCAGAGAAGAAACCATCTCTTCATAATCATTTACCTGCATTTGGTGCAACTTAAGCAGCGCTTCATGCTGTTCATTTTTTATTCCCAACTGATCTTGCATATTCTTTACTTGGTTGCATAAAAGAACTTTCTCTGATAACAAAGATCCATGATTATCTCTCAGATCAGCATGTTTATCCTCCAGGAATTTCAAAGACACTGCAGTGCTTTCCAGCTGACAACCAAGAAGGTGTGAGTCAGATAGGTATCAGTCTGATCAACCAGCTCAAGAATAAAGAACAACCCAATCTAGTATATAATACTAATAGATGATGACGCATAGTTCAAAGATTTAAGTAAAGGGAAACTGTCTAACATGCTCACAAGAAAAACACCTAGCCAACTAAGACTAATCACAGCCTAGAAATTCTCACAAAGAAATAAAAACACCCTCCAAATGATTTGGTGAGCCCGCAAAAAATAAAAAATCTGTCACTGAACCCATTAATATATACCCGAAGTCAAATATTAAATGGTCCATGCTAGATCATATCGCTAAAACGTGAGGGCTAAAGCTCTAGTTTGCACTCAGGAAAAAAAATGTAATTTCGATAAGACATACCTGGGAGAGTAGTTTGTGCTTTTCAGCAAGAAGAGCAGTGTTGTCAGCAAGATAAGACCGAGAGGATTCTTCTGAATCTTTATACTTTACTCTCAATTCTTGAAGCTCATAATTCACATTAGAGAATGAAGTTTCCAGAATGGATTTTTCCTCTAAAACATCAGCACATCTTTTACCAAGGGTCTCTAGTTCTAATGCCAAAGCATCCTTCTCAGTGGCATGCAAGGAGACATCATATTTCAGAGAGTTTTTTGAAGCTTCCAGTTCTTTTACAATTTCCTTCAGGTCTTCCATTTCAACAATTGCATTTGAAAATGATTTCTTCAAGATTGAATACTCTGTGGACAGCTCCTCCATGCCATGAAGCTTTTCCAAGAGGAGTGTCTTTTCAACATCACATGCATTGCATACCTCCTCCAATTCAATGTTCTTACTCTGCAATTCCTCAATTAAATGCTGTTGTGTTGCCACCCTTATGTTTACTGCCTTCAGCTCATGTTCCAAAGAACAGAGATGCTTCTCCAGAATATCCTTATCTTCTTTCTGGCGGGCCAAGTCTTGTTGAAGAACTTCCTTCTCACCAACGTGGATTCCCACTTCATTCTGAAGACCTATGTTCATTTCCGTAAACTTCTCCAATTGATCATGGAGACCTTTAATAGTTAACTCGGCAGAAAGATTTTGCTCACCAAGCACATGTATCTCCTCCGAATGCTTGCATATCATGTTCTTAAGGTCCCTATTACTGTTCTCCATCTCATTCAACTTGCCATGTAGTGTCTCAATCTTCAAAACCAATCCCCTTACTTCTTCCTGAGACTGAGAATGTAGATTTTCCATTGCAAGAAGAGCTACTTCACCCTCAATGCGCTTCTGGGCTTCTTCATTCAGGCTCGCCTGCAAGCTGTCAACCTCTTCTCTTTTCTGTTTGAGTTCTTTATCCAGAATTTGCACATTTTTCTCAGCATTGACTAGTTCAGCCTGCACATCAGAGAGTTCAGATTCCAGATCAGACACTCTCACCAAGGCCTGCTTGTGCTGAAGAACAGTAGTATCTCTCTCAGAATTCAGCAGCAGTATGGTGTTCTTAAGCTCACAAGAGACATTTTCCACTTCATTTAACTTTCTATTCAGCCTCTCAATCTCTGGGGTCAACCTATTCACTTCTTCCTGAGACTGCGTATGCAGATTAGTCATCGTGAGAAGAGTTGCTTCACCCTTCATACGCTTTTGGGCTTCATCCTGCAGACTAGCCTGCATAGTTTCAACCACCTCTCTCTTCTCCTTGAGTTCTTTATCCAGCATTTGCACTTTTTGTTCAGCATTATCTAGTTCTTCCTGCACCCCTGAGAGTTTAGACTCCAGCTCATATATTCTTAGTGAAGACTGCTTGTACTGAATAACACTCATGTCTTTCTCAGAATTCAGAAGCAAGATGGTGCTCTTATACTCAGAAGACTTGTTCTCCATATCATTCAACATTTCGTTCAACCTCTCAATCTCCAGGGTTAACCTATTCACATCTTCCTGTGATTGAGAGTACAAGTTACCCGATGAAATGAGAGCTGTCTCAACTTCCACACGTTTCTTGCCCTCATCTTGCAAACTCAACTGCAGAAAATCCACCATTTCATTCTTATCTGCAAGTTTTTGCTCCATTGTCTGCATCTTCTCCTCAGCCTTCTCCAGCTCCAACTGTATCTTTGAGAGCTGTGACATCAGATCACATGCTCTTTCAGAGGACAGCTGCTGTTGTAGAAGTGCTGCGTCTTTCTCAGAATTAAGAAGGGAGATGGTGTTCTGAAGCTCATATGATAATTCTTCCATTCTCGAATTTCTGCCTTGCAATTCACTTAGCTCATTTTCTAATTTATCAAGATCCATAACTAGCTTACCCACTTCTTCCTGGGATTTGGAATGCAGATTTTCCACCATACTAAGGGCTGCTTCAGCATGCATCCGTTTATGGCCTTCCTCTTCCAAATTATTTTGGAGGTCATTCAACTCATCATTCTTATGTGCAAGGTTTTCTTCCAACAATTGGGCTTCCTTCTTGTTTTCCTCCACTTCTGACAGTGCATCTAAAAGTTGAGCCTCTAAGTAAGACTGTCTCTCCAAGGAATGCTGCTGTTGAAGTAGCATTAAGTCTTTCTCAGAATTAATCTCTGAAATAGTATTCTTAAGTTCTCGTGAAATGTTCTGCAGATCCAGCCTATCATTTTCAACCTCAGTAAGCTGCTCGCTTAATCTTTCAAGATCATGTGCTAATGTCTTAGCTTCTTTTTGTGAATTAGTATGTAGGTCCTCCAATCTGAGCAGAGATGTTTCAGCAAGAATGCACTTCTGGACTTGCTCTTGCAAACTATTTTGGAGTTCACTGATCTCTTTGTTCTTGTGTTCAAGTTCCTGGTCCAGCATCTGAGTTTTCTGTACCATCTTCTCCATTTCTGATCGCACTACTAAAACCTGTGCTTCCAAATAAGATACCTTCTCCGAGGACTTCTGCTGTTGAAGAAGTGCAGAATCTTTCATAGAATTCAGCTCTGCAACCGTCTTCTTGAGTCCTTGTGACAGGTCATGCAATTTCAAGTTATTATTTTCCAGGTCACTCAACTTCTTGTTCGAGTGCTCAACATCTCGAGCCATCTGTTTAACCTCTTCTTGAGACTGGGAATGTAAGTTCTCCAATGCACGAAGAGCTGCTTCCTTTTGCATGTGATTGGAGCGTTCATCTTGCAACTGAGCATGCATGGCATCAGCCTCTTCTCTCTTCTGTTCAAGTTCTTGCACCTGTATCTGTATCTTGCGTTCTAGGCTCGTGACTTCCTTCTTCAGCTCACAGACTGTGTTCTCCAGATTGAGCTTCACCAGATTGAAGTCTTCTTGAGACTGGGAATGTAAGTTCTCCAATGCATGAAGAGCTGCTTCCTTTTGCATGTGATTGGAGCGTTCATCTTGCAACTGAGCATGCACGGTATCAGCTTCTTCTCTCTTCTGTTCAAGTTCTTGCGCCTGTATCTGTATCTTCAGTTCTAGGCTCGTGACTTCCTTCTTCAGCTCGCCAACTGTGTTCTCCAGATTGAGCTTCACCAGATTGAAGTCTTCTTGAGACTGGGAATGCAAGTTCTCCAATGCATGAAGAGCTGCTTCCTTATGCATGTGATTGGAGTGTTCATCTTGCAACTGAGCATGCATGACATCAGCCTCTTCTCTCTTCTGTTCAAGTTCCTGCACCAGTATTTGTATCTTCACTTCTAGGCTCGTGACTTCCTTCTTCAGCTCACAGACTGTGTTCTCCAGATTGAGCCTCACCAGATTGAAGTCATTCAATCTATCATTTGCCATCTCCATATCTAGAGTCAACCTATTTATTTCTTTCTGCGATTGAGCGTACTGTTTCTCTAAAGAGCATAGAGCATCTTCAGCTTGCTTGCGCTTGGCCATTTCATCTTGTAGACTTAAGTGGAAGCTTTCTATCTCCTTTCTACTTTGTTCAAGTTCTTGCTCCTGCACCCTGACCTTCTGATCCAGAGTCTCAAGCTCAGACTGCATTGCGCTGTTTTGTGATTCAGCACATTTTAGCTTGTCAACTTCCATAGCCATATCGTCAGAGAGTTTCTTGAGTTCCATATGCGCCTTAGAAATCTCGCATTCTAAAACTGACAATCTTCTTGTAGATTCATTGTATTGCAGAAGGGTTGTGTCTTTCTCAGAAATCAAACATGAAATGGTGTCCTTAAGGCTATGGATTTCACTCTCAGCCTTGTTTGCCCTCTGAGACTCTGATGAGATTTGCTCTTTCAGACTTTGGCGCTCTGTTAATAATTTGGAAACTTCATGTTGCAAATTCATGATATCATTACTATCATCTTTCTTTCCTTTAACATCTGGGCTTTCAAAGTTGAGACCTTTCCTTACTTTTCCATCAGAAAAATTGACACGCTGGCTACTGTCACTGCCTGCAAACAAATCACTGAACTGCTTAAGACCTTTGCGACTAGACGAAAAACCTATGTCATCAGGCTGTGTACCATTCCTCTTGACAGTTAAAAGGTGTGGTGATACACCAGCTGCATCCTGCAGATCATCCAGATCAAATGGTGCACGGGTGGGCATTAACACTTCCGGTGTACGTGGTTCCACATCCTGGCCAGAGGAGGGAGAGTCTTCAGACATTGACGGCATCTGATTTGGAAATGCTTCTGAGATTGTCCGGTGGGCCTGCCGGAGTGCACCAGTAGCTTGATCGTACCTTTCTGCTAAGGCACGGTATGCTCTGTAAAACTCCTCCACAAGATTCATAAGTTCAGGCCGTTTCTTATAGTACATTTCCGCTCTTCTTGCAAAAGAGTCAGCATCTTCATTGATAAGTTTGATCATTGCTTTGACCATCACGTCCATATCTGTTCACAAAAGGAACTCATTTAGTTACCATACATTTAGTTCAGTTCCAATAAATGCAGCCAGTTTGTACATGATGTATCAAAAAGGTAAATACAGACAAACCTAGTTTTCAAGTATAATGATCCAAGATATGTTTGGTACAATAAAATGCAAAAGAGGAAAAATAATGTAACTATATAATAATCCATACTGAACTCCTGCCAAACTCCCAGCATATTAAGCCAAACAATCCAAAGATTAGCACATAGCAACAATGCATATTTTGGTAATAAATCTAATTCCTAATACTAAATAAATGATCAGGAAATCATGATTTTGTCGTGGAGTGGAATATCACAAACCTATTAACCTGAGTGAAACAGTAATTGCAGAAAATGGATGATAGGTCATGTATAGTAGCTAGAGAGTTACTAGCTTTGCTCAATATCAAGGAGTATTTGATTACTATGACACAAGTGATCTTTTTTCGTTTGTAATCCAGAATAATGTACTATTCTGTATTATTCTTTATTTGTAACTGATAGCTGTACACCAGTTAGTGTTGGCTCAATCTGTGACAAATAAAAATTACTTGAAGATTAAACATAAAATTTGTTAGCTCCATGGATCTGTTCCATTTACCAAATTCCTTTCTCACTAAATATTGTAGGCACAATTATGATGCCGAAACATATTTCAGAAAAAAAAAACATATTTCCAATTGATTGACTCCCAGGCTCCCAGCTGCCAGATGTCTTTGGGAATGCATGAGTGCCTCATAAATTATATGAGTTCTTGCACTGAGACAATGCCCCATGAATGAACAGGACAAGAACCATATTTTTAGTTCACGTTGATTAAGGATCAGAAAAAATACCGCAACCAAACATGCTTTTTTTAGATAATGGGAATTTATAAAACCCGGCTTCTACGCCAACGGGGGTGTATACAGCCACAGAAAATCCGAGCAACCAAACATGCTTACATCCAAACTACTCCAGTTTGTTTCCTTGTATGGTACAAATTTGATAGTAGTTCAAGAATTTTTTTTCAATTATATCAATCATTGTCCTATAATTTACTGAAATCGTCAAATATCTTAGCACACAACCCTGTGGTGTTGAACTATCAATGCTGCCAGAGCCAGACCATAGAACTGATAGATGGTTTCCAAGCACATGCCCTTTGAGTGATCAAAGGTAAAAAGCTTAATGCCAGGCTAAACCACTAAACAGAAAATTATGATCATTTAATTTATATGTATTCATTTCACCACTACTGCATAATATAGCAATTGTATATACAAGAAAGATTAACATACCTGTAACGTTCTCTTGAAGCCATTTGGAATTTTTGGGGCTGATATGGCTAACCCACCACCATGAGTACTGGGTGGGATTTGAATCATGCCGGACCAAAGAAGCCATTGGCACAAATGAGCAAGTAAGCTGCCACAGAGGCACGATGTGTCTGTCTGTCTCAATGTCTTTGGTGCTCAGAATTGAGCAGCAGCGTGGTAAATCATATGTAACAACAAAAGAAGTTTCCACTTCTTCAAAGTATGCATTCAAGCAACAGCAAAATATATCATGCTTCCATGCAAAACGAAGTGCTAGGAGCCTGAAAAGCACACCAAATTTACCCTCCAATTGTGGGCAGTTTACCTGTTACAACGCAGATGCATAGATGGATCAGTAATGGAATGAGAAGAAGAGGAAATGACATGCATCAAATGTAGTCAGAAACGGCAGGAAATATGTTTACTGAACCGTGATACATAAATGTGAGTTCAAGTGATTCAACAGTAGAAACAATTACCTCCCATTCATGATATTCCTAAAGAAGTGCAGAAGAATGGACGAAGATAGATTAATCATGCCACTGCATTAAGCCAAAATAGTGGTCAACAAAGTGAATGAGCAAAACAAACTAAGATGCAAAAAAGAGGGAAAAAAACAATGTGGGAATAGATAACACAGATGTGCTCTTTCCATTTTTTGGTAAAATATATCAGAAAAGTGTGTCAATGCTATGGCACAAAACAAAATCGTTAAAAGGGGCAAAGAGAACAAAATGCCATCGAGATTTGAAGCACGAAACGGATTAGCAACTCGAAACGCTGATGAAAGAATGAAACCTTTCGCACACTCCAATAACTCAGAAGGGCAATGCTCTACTGCAGATCATAGGAAGAGCCCTCCTTTGCAAGAGAAGCCGACATGCTCAAGAAAGGATCTCCCAACCAGAGCAAGAAGAAACCTCATTATTCACCGCCCACTGTTCTTCTTCTACATCCCACCAACCACTGAACCAATAGAACACCAACCAGAAGGCAAAGGCCAACCAACAAACATTCAGAACACACCGGAAAAAAAGACTAGTCTTCGAATCCAAGAAACGGGGAACAGATCAAGAGAGCAACCAGGTTGTGACCGGGGTGAATAAGATGGGTTAGGAAAAGAGAAGAAGATCCAATCTTGGGGTGGAGGGAAGGGAGAGGAGGCGTGAAGCACAGTAGTAGCAGCATACCATGGCCGACGCTCTCAGTGTGGCAGTGACCAGTGGTGGGCAGGCAGTGGCTAGTGGTGGCAAGGCAAGGCAACAAGCAATGCAAGATCCCATCTCACCCCCCATTTGCCTTTCTCTATGGTCACCGGAGTCAGCAGCGTGTAGTGTGTACCGCGCTGAGAAAGGCTGTAAAAGCACAAAGGTAAAGTAGTAGCTCTCGGTACAAGAAGAAAACAAACTGTTACTACAAGAGAAAATGAGAAGAGAAAATTAAACCTTTTTGGTTTCAGTGATAACAATATGGCCTCATTTTCCCTGCAATTATGGGGTTTAATTGCACATTTGCTTTGTTCTGATAAAACGGCAATAAATTAGTGGTATAACTGTGTAAGGTTGCTGTTATATTGGCCATAAATCTGGCTTGGGGTCAGAAACTTGAAAACATTTATCAGGACAGAAACAGTCGTCAGGTTTAATGCCGCCCAAATAAATGCCTGTTTCAGTTTGCTTTCTATTCCCGTTTGCTGCTAATCTCATCTCAATTCTCAAATGGATTATACTAGTCCATAGTACTTTGCTACTATAGCGTTTCATGTCCTGATCTGTAATCTGCAGAAGTTTCTGTGTGCCTCATCCTATTCATGTCAGGCATCTCCTTGCTTATACCAGGGTCTCCAATGACTGCCCAAGTCAACATGTGTGTGTTCTTTCTTGGGTTGAGGCTTCCAAAGAAACATCAAACATGTTACAGGAATCCTATTCATCAAGTGGTTCAGAGTTCAGACACATGGTACACTTGGAGCTCATGTGATTAACCCAGAGACCGAGAAAAGCAAAATGATGAGACGATCCCCATGTCATGTGGCACGCTTGCCCCTGCCAAACTGTCACTTAAGAATTGTTAGAAAAATGCCAATGCTCTCATCATGTTTCTCCTTGTCCCTGCTGCACATTGCAGATGTTTAATTAGCCCAACAATCTGCTCCTGTTCGGCTGTTCCTTGTGCCCAACCACAACCTGAAACGTTGCCAAGATGTTTCTGAAGAACAGCAATTCACTAGCTGGTGATCTGAACTTTACTAGCCGATGCCACATTTTCCCCTTTGACAGGTTTGCAGCGGTAAATCTCTCGCCGTGCAAGCCAAGAACACCCATGACTTCAAGTTCAGAGTTCCAACTCCACATTATATTGCTTTTGCAAGAAGTCTTCAGATCTTCAGAGAAACATTATTACAAGGTTAGCTCATCAATTCACCTCACATGGACCACCACCATTGCAGCAGCAAGGGCAAGTAGAGACTGTAGTAGTAGTAGTCGAGGAACAGTTCGCAGCCGAGCTGGTCGCGACGCGGTTCACCCAAGTACAGCCATCAATTGCCGCTTGCCGAGAAGATTCCGCCATTGGGAGGGGGCCCAAGATCTCCATGGCGCCATCAAGAACGGCTTTTTTTTTTGTGGGAGTAGGAGGAGGGAGAAGATACAGACAGATGTGCCCCTCGCTCACGTGCCCACCTCATGTCCCCTCACATGGCGTGTGCCCGTGGTTGCATCCGTCGGATCTCCACTTGCTTTAGCAGTAGCCAGTAGATGCAGCACGACACCGACGGCCGCCGGCGGCGGCACGGCGGTGGTCAAGGGACGACGGCGCTGGCGTTAGATTGCGGCGGAGATGAGCTTCCGCGGCTGTGGCGGCTGGCGGCGAGGAGTCGGTGGGAGGCGGAGGCTGGGAGACCAGCGGTTAAACGAGAGAAAGGCTAATGTGTGAGTTTGCCGCGGTAAATCTTTCACTATGTAACGGAAGTTCTTTCACCATGCAAGGGAAGACCAGTAGACCACTAGATCCCTCCGTTTCATAATGCTTTGTAACATTTCCTACATCCATATAGATGTTAATAAATCTAAACACATACATATGTAACATTTGAATGAATATGAACAATGCTAGAAAATCTTACATCGTGAAATGGAGAAAGTAGAAACTAGCAAGTCATTGGAGCTCAGGAATATAACGAGGAAGTCAGTATATGCCATATTGTCTCAATGACATCACAAAGTAGTATCAAGACGCAAGTATCATAGCATCACAAAATAGTAGTATCTCGCAAGTATAATAGCAGCATCACAAAATAGTAGTTTCTGGACGCGAGTATCCAGGACTATCAGGACTATCAACGAAAGAGACAAGAGACAGTGAAAGAACTCTCAGTGAACCTAATATCACAACATCACAACGAGACCGTGGCTATCAGAACTCTCAGTGAACCTACATCACAGCATCACAAGAGACCGAAGTATGAGTATAAGCCGGGAGCACAGCGAACAAACTCTCAGTGAACCTAGTATCACAACATCACAACGAGACCGTGGCTATCAGAACTCTCAGTGAACCTACATCACAGCATCAAGAGACCGAAGTATGAGTATAAGCCGGGAGCACAGCGAACATATCAGAACTGTGCGTCAAACTGACTAGGCATCTCCGGCACCCTGAAGCCAGAAACAGTGTAGGCATTCAGCAACTTCTTGGCATTGGTCAAGAGATGACCATGCCGATCCCACATCTCCGCAGTGCGTCTGAGGAATGCTTCTTTCTTAGCTGGTTTAGGAATATATGCCTTGCGCATATAAATGATTTTTCTCAACATTCCGATCTACAAGCAGAAAACAATTTTAGAAAAAATAAAATAAAACACTTCCAATAATAAACATTTAATTAATTATTGGTTTAAAATAACAAAAAAAACCTCATTTAATTTGCGATAAAAGAGTTTATTGAGAGCATCCAGCTTTAAGCATCCCGTCACCTCTGGCACTGAAAAGAAGTACTCATTGAACTATAAAAACAAAACAATATACAAAGTTAATATTATTTGACAACTAAAAAAAAAAACAAACACAAATAGGTTTGGAAGCCCATTTTCAAAGGGCCCATACACAACCCGACCCAATCAAATGGCCCAGATTGAGCCCAAATAAAAAATTTACATCAAATGAAAGCCGAGATTAAGATTAAAGTCAATTTAAAGGCCCAAAACAATATAGAAGTGACTCAAATTTAGCCCATCAGCTTAACTAACAACAGATACAAAACCCAAAACACTAACAAAGATAGAGAATTTGGCTACCAAGAAGAGGAGACAATCGCGTGACTTGCTCTAGAAAAACCAATTAACAACAAAATACAGCATCCAGATCGAGAAAAAAGCATGGACATGGAGAAGAGTGAGAAAGATGGAGATAAAAAAACGCAAGCAGATCAAAATCCAGATCTATTTAGAATCAATTATCTTAGAGGAAATCTCAGATCCACCGAAGAAAGAAGCTTCTCTGCAACAAATCTATTCAAGAAGAAAAAGATGGAGATGGAGAAGAGTGATAAAGTTGCAGGTACAAGAAAACTTCAAAGATCAAATTCAGGAGCAAAAGCAGATCAAAAGTACGAACAATGCACAAGGGGAAAGAGTTAAAATTCATTCTTCTGCCAATTTTAAATAACATTAAAATATTAGAAGAAATCAACATTTCAGTAATCAACTTATTATGAAATTGGTGAGCATGAGTAACTTTTACATTGAACCGTTTGATTAGTAAATGTGAAGTATGATTATAATGTGAAGTATCTACCCATTGTTCTTAAGCCCAAAACAACACAATTTGTACAGATTCCCAAATGTCAATAAACACTACGTCAGGCACACTTACTTGTAATGACATCCAAGTACAAATTAAAATAAAAAACTATCTGAATCTTAAACAACAAATTCTATTTTATAAACATCCATAGAACAGGAAAGGTTTCAGTTAATATAGCATACACTACTTGACATATGGGTTCAATTCACAAAAGAAAAAGAATAAAGACTAGGTTCAGCTAATCGAGAATTCCTAATGTAGCTTAGCCAAATATTATTGGGAGAAAGATGGCATAAGTGAAGTGAAAACACAGACATCAAAATTAGGTAATAGAAGAAAGAAAACACTTAGTTCAGAAAAATCAAATTCAGGTAAAAAAAGATAACTGCATCATTAATCTTTGTTGTATTTTATTTTGTACTCAGAGTATAACACAATTTTTGAAATTTATTTCAGAATCACAAAGAAAACAGAAAGATTTGGTATCTTAAAATGTTGCAAAAATTGCTGACGATAACCAATTCATATCTGCTGAGAAATCAGGTGGTAAGTAATTGTTCAACTATAACTATTAAAATTAAAATTACAGTTCATTTGTTCTATTTTTAGATAGAAAAAATTCTGTAATTTCAATATTAAAATCATGTAAATTGACCCAAATTTATGATTTAGGATATAATCACAAGTGAAAATTTTGTACACACTGAAGTGAATTCCTTTCATAATAAGGAAAGGAAGAGAACATTAGCATTAGTGGGGGAAAAAGCAAATTTCAAAAAATCAAAAGTTTGTTGAAAGTAAGCATGTTCATAACAGAGACATAAGCACAGGTTTATAATTGCATATCTTAAATTAATCAATTCAGCATGAAAAGCACATTTTATGACTAGTGAAATATATGCGAATCATACACAAATATTACATTTTCTATCGTTAGTCAACTCATACTTCATATTATCTAAGTTATTTCGAATTACAGTCAATTTATTTTATATTTACATGTTTGAAATACTGTAATTTTAGTGTTATATTAGTGTAATTCGTATCAGTCATAACTAAATTATATATCTACAGGAATCACAAAACTCACTTCAGAAGCAGATTTTCACAAGCAAATGAACACAATAGTTCAAATGAGTTCAATTAAGTTCATCTTAATATCAACTCATTCTTTCAGCGGACAAGTATGTGAATGTGACATCTATGCTATTTCAGTTAAATTAGAAACATAGAACCATAGGCTAAATCACATAGAACCAAAGGCTAAATCACAAACATATTTATAAATAAACTCACATATAACCATTTTTAGTTAATTTGTTATATAAACTTTTCATTTTTAGTACATTTGTGATACCAGTTCAGCTTTCATGCCCTGTAAACTCAATAACTATTGATTTTTATAAACTCATGTTATATAAACTGAATTGTTGTTGATTTTTATTGTAAGTTACAGTGCGCTGTAAGAGAATATTAAAACTGAAAACTGGACAAAAAAAACAATGAAATAGTTTGTAATCTGTCTATATTACTTTGAACTAGAGATATCAATGTCAAACATAACTAGACTGAAATCAGAATATCAATTAAATATTGCCATCAAATGTAAAACCAAATCAATAAATCCCAAATATCTGCATAACAAACAAATCACAGTAGTAAAAACTCACAGCACAAATCACACTAGATAAACTCACAGCGGGTATGTAAGTGAAGGGGTAGCGGGAGAAGGGTCTCAGTCTACGAGCTCCAGGCGGATTCTGGGGGCGAGGCCAGAGTCGATTCCTCCCAAAATACTTGCGGGGTGCCCTCCCCCATGTCACCCTCGGGTGAGCGAGGGAAGCCTTCAGGGCGAGTCGGGCGAACGCCTCGACCATGGGCTCGTCGATGACATCGGCCATTCCTGTGGATCAAATTTTAAAACCCCTAATCAATTCAGATCAAATCCGTAATATGGGATTTCGCAACCAACGAGAAATTTCGCACAGGAACCAAACCGTACAAGAGAAACAAACACGTTCGGGCGAAAGTAAACAAATCCGGACGAGGGAAACGATTTCGAGACCAAAAATTTAGCAAACGAGTGATTTCACAAAGTAGAAACCAAAACAAACAGTACGAACGAAACCGATTTCGCAAACAAATCGAACAGTACGAGCGAAACTAAACCAAACCCTACCGCACGCCTGACAACGACGGCGGCGAAATGGATTTCACAACGACGTCGGCCAAACGGATTTCGCAAGCAAACCAAACGTACGACCTAAACCGATTTCGCAACCAAACCCTAAGAGATTTCGAAACAAAAAACAGATTTCGAAAAAAACAAACGAGGACGGAGAACGTACCTGTGGAGGTACGGCGGCGGCGGCGGCGGTGGGGAGGCGGGGAGGCGGGGGTCGCCGCTCGACGGCGAATGCTGGGCGGAGAAATCGGGCGGTGGCTGCGTAACAAGTTCAAAATAACTGCGAGATAGACGAGGAGGACCAAATCAAGGAGACGATCGAAGAGAACCTAGTAGAACTTACCAGATTTGATTCGATCGAGGAGATCGCTTCCGGCTTTCCTCCGACGAGGCGACTCGGGGGGCAGCGGCAGCGGAGAGATCGGTTCATATATATATACCGCATCCAGGGCCATGCCCCACCTGTCAGCCTAGCGCCGCGCGGACTCCAGCCGTCCCCGGCCCACCTGTCAGTGAGGGCGATCACCGCCGACCAAAGCGGCCCCCCACCTGTCAGCCTAGCGCCGCGAAGGTTCCAGCCGCCCCGGCCCACTTGTCAGCGAGCTGACGCATCCAGCCGAGGGAGGCCTGCCCCACCTGTCAGGGAGAGCGATCCCCGCCGGCCGAAACCCGTGGGGGGCTGCCCCACCTGTCAGCCTAGAGCCGACTCCAGCCGAGGCCCCCATCCATTGACCGCCTCCCGCGACCGTAGGTCCACTCGTCAGTGGAACAGATCCTCGCCTCCATCCGGGGAGGCCCGTCGGCGACGCACCGGCGCATCCGGGGGCCGCCCGCCGCCGACGCACAGCCGCCATGGGAGTCACCCGTCAGCGGAAACCGAGCAGAGGCCAGAGCGCCGTCGTAGAGAGAGATCCCGCTGCGGCGCACGGCGCCTCTCTGGACCTCCGTCCGGCTCGACGGCACAAAGGGCCAGATCCAAATGAAGAGGGCCACGAGGGAACAAGAGAAAGGGTTTGAGGGAGGTGAACAGATAGGTTGAAGGGGGAACCGGGGAAGATGAGATTGGAAGGAGGAGGAGCTATCTATATAAAAGGAGTACTAGTGCTACTAGTAGTAGTGGCTATAGACAGCTAAAGAATCGACTTTAAAATAGCTGACCGTTTCAACCGATAAATAAGTCATCAATCACGTATTCTAATTTCTCTCTCTCTCTCTCTCCCACCTTCGAATTTTATTTCCAGATCTCACCAAGTTCTTCTACCCTATAATGCAACAACTCATTTTACTCATCATCATTCATTATTGGACAAATCCAACGACCCAAAATCACCATCTCAAATCCAACGAACCAGATCCCTCTCCTCCCTCCCGCACCCACCCACGCGCGAGAAAATTGCATATCTACCATCGCATAAGATTGGCTTCGCAGAAATACCATCACTTAAATCGGCTTCGCTAGAATACCACTCCCAACTAGAATGTCTTCGCCAAAATACCATTTTGGACAAAAATGACCCTACATCTATCTCTTCCACCTCCGACACGAGCAAACGGCAATGGTGCACGGCGCAGTAGCGGCGGGTGAGATGAGGAGCGAACGACGGTGGTCTTCTCCAGCGAGTTCGTCCGTCTCACCTAGCTGCGCGGCCCCCAACGCCTTCAGTCTCCGCGACGCGTCGCCTCCGTCGCCGGCGAGTTCGACGAATCATCCCCATTGCCGGCGAGTTCATCTGTTGCCTCGACACACCGCCCCCATCCTCGTTCTTCCGTCACACCTCAACGCGTCACCCTCATCGCTGGTGAGTTCGTCCGCTCCGCTTCCGTCGCCGATGAGTTCGGCCCCATCAACGTTGATGACGTCGGCTATGGCCTCCTCTTAGCGCGGCGGGCATAATGAAAAGGTGGGGACGACGAGGAGGGCAGCGCCCCCATCGTCGCTGACAAGGTGGCACCGGTGGCTGCCGACGAGCTCCTCCGACATTGGTATTGGAGGAAGGGAGAAGAACCAGGGTCATTTTTGTCCAAAATGGCATTTTGGTGAAGCCGTTCTAGTTGGGAGTGGTATTCTAGTGAAACCGATTTAAGTGATGGTATTTTTGCGAAGAGCAATGGTAGATATGCAATTTTCTCCCCACGCGCTCCACCCAACGCTCCTCTCCCCGTAACTCCCGTCCCCCACGGTCGCCCCAAATCTCGCGAAACCGCCGAAGAAGCTGTCGGGCTCGTCGTCGCCAAGCCGATCTCCTCCGCGCCGCCAGAACTTCGTCGCCTCTTCTAGAAACACGACGCGCACAGACAGAGAGAGAAAAGAGGAGAAAAAGAAAAGCGGCAAAAGTCGGGAATCCCAAGAGCAAGGAGCGGGCGTGCTTGGCCGCAGTTGCCGGGGACCCCCAACGTCATCTTCGTCGGCACGGAAGAAGACGGCATCTTCGCCGTCGAGCTCGATTCGCTGAGCGTCAGGAAAGTGTGCGAATTGGACAAATCACAAGACCTTTTCTTCCCCTTCGTCAGCTACTACGCCGAGTCATTCCTGGTATTCATCTCATATTTCTCATCTGTTCGACTGTTCATGCAAATTTGGTTGCAAATTTAAAATGACATGGTTTGCTGGTTTTTTTTTTATTTCTATTTTTACAGCTGAGCCTATCAAGCAGCAAATTGCCAGCACCAGCGGCAAATTAATCCACCATCTTGCAGTCTGATCGATGTTCTTCGGTGATTTGTTTCGTCTGCGGAAAGTTCAGGGAGACAAGTAGTTTAGTTCGATCACTTGGTCAGTTAGCATAGTTCCTGACGATTTTTTTGTTGTGGTGTTCTTCTTATCAAATTGTGACCATGGATCGAACACTTATTTCAATCGATCAGTTTCAGCATACGCGAGTCATTTTGTTTCAGTCAATGCCTGACACAACCATCAAGTGTTCTGAAAAATGAATCGTTGTGGTTCAGTCTCAGTCGGATTGGGGGGAATTGGGAGGGTTTTGGGTCTAATTGGTGTCACTTTTCTGATCATCGAGTCGTCGTCCGCGGAGAAGACTAATATCACTCATGAGTTAAATTTTAGTGGGAGTTAAATTTTAACTCATGGTGACGTGGACGAATCTCGGACGTTCATTTCTCGATCCAATGGTATAAGGTGAGAGTTGCATAGTTGCACTGAATTAGGTGATTGCACCGGATACTTCCCCGTGACCATGAGACTTTGGACATGGTGATTTAGTAAGGAGAGCTAATTTTCTGCTGTTGGGACGTGGTAAATTCTCTTCTACCAAACCATCTGATGTGCTAGCTCTTACCGTGCTTGTCTATATATGCTAAAATCACTTCTAAGAACTATATGATGTTTCCGGCAAGAGAGTCAAATCGATATTGTTCAGAATCAAGATACATGAATATTGATCTCTGCAATCTTCAGTGAGTGTTGAGTTCTGTGTGAGGATGTAAGTAGGGGACAAGCTCTATCAGTCTAAAGAAATAAAGAATAGTATTAATCTTACTTTGATTTAATAGTCGATATGCCCTCTGTGTAAGCTGTTCCTTGGTTCTTGTAAAAGAAAGAAATGCACCTCGCTGGCTAGGTTAGCATTTTTATCAGAAATTTTTATCTGAATTGATTCCTAAATATAGATACATGGTGCACTATTTTTGGTCTAAAATGGAGTTGATTCCTGCTTGTCTGTACTTGGAGCAAGCAGCTCAGTCCATGGATGCCTTGCTACGTGTATTGACACGGTATGCACTCAACTATTTTAGTCTTTTATATGACCAACAGATCTCTTGCCGAATTGCATAACAATGTTCATTCTATGTCTCTGTACTTAATTAAAGTTCTTTCTTTAGGGAAAGTGAGTTACAAATATCGTTTGCATATATCAGAAAAAAAAAAGAAGGAAATGATGGTGGACGTCTTCCCGGACGAGATTATCTTGGCGAATGACAATGTGGCTCCGCTACTGCTCGACCGGTCTGATGATCTATGTAAGACTGTTTTTAATAGCAATGATTGGATTTTTTTTTTGTCCATAATGCTCCGTTGATAGAATCAATGTGATGAGATCCATTGCTACATAAAGCGGATGTCTAATTATGTGCAAGTTAGCAGGATTTTTTTTTAATTTAGAATCAATGTGATAAGATCCATTGCTGAAGGATAAGATTCTTCATATTCAAAGGGATATAAAAATTGTTGGTGATTCTTGTTTAGATTTGTCAACAATTTTTGAGCTTCAGGAATAATAGAAAGCATGTGTGTGGAAAGAAGATTCAGTTTTATGCACTGTTTCGTTGAGACCAGTGTAACTATTTTTTGTTCAAAAGAAGCCTAGATACAAGCTCGCGGAGGTATAAATTGTTTTAATCCTCCAATAAATTTATAAAAATATAAAATTAATCTTTAGGACAAATATAGTACACTAATGTATAATATCCTTGCTTGGTTATTTGTATTTTAAGATAGTTTAACATTTATTTTGCCAAAGTATATATTTTATAATTATATAATTTGCATTACTAAATATCGCCGTAGCGTTAGCACGTGCATATTACTAGTATATAGTAATAGTAGTACGCGTTTACTAGCTAGAACGGATTAATTTCCTATCCTAATACTACGGGAAGAAATACACTAATAGGATACGGAGTAATACGGAAAGAAATAAGAAAAGTCTAATTTTAACCGTGCCATATTTAGAGCTCGTTCACTTTGCTACCATTTTCAACCTTACTAAGTTTTGGCATTGCCAAATTTTGGTAATTGGCAAGATTTCTTATGTATTTACTAAAATTTAGCAACAAACTAAATATAGCTACTTTTTTTTAATAACTTTGTCAAAAAAAATGTAAGGTTGAAAATGATAGCAAAGTGAACAAGCCCTTATATATAGGGATGGCAATTTTACCCATGGGTCCGGGTATCCGTGGATACCCGACCCGATGGGCACGGGCGTGGGTGTGACTTTTTACCCATGGGCATGTCCGACCGAGACCCGAAGACGTTATGGGCAATAGGCGGGTTTGATTTTTTACCCGTGGGTAACCCATGCCCAACCCGATACATATGTATTAGCTAAGTTTGACTCATTTCTTAATTCTTATACCATTTCTCTCGGTTCATTTGTGATGCTAACTGATACTAAGTTATGTTGTAATTCAAATTATTGTTGATAACCAATAATTTCATAAATTTTTTATTTTATTTCTCTTTGTTAAATTACATATCTTTCAAGTTATTATTCAAGTGAGATCCATTGGGTACCCGCCGGATATACCCGCGCCCGCTGGGCATGGGTACGGGCACGGAGTTTTGCCCGCTAACTCTAGTGGGTAGGGTTTGGGCGGGCAAAGTCGGGCATCGGGTCGGGCATGGTTTTGCTCTACCCGTGCCCAACCCGACCCACTGCCATCCCTACTTATATAGTACGCGTTTATACCAGTTGTAACAGATTAATTTGCTATCGTAATAATACAAGAGGAAATAAGGAAAGTCCAAATCTCACCGAACCATATCCGAGAAACACCCAGGAGTCTTCCGGCTAGCTCCACAAGGTGGTGGACTAGACGACCCTTCTAATTATTTGATATTACTACACTGGTGGAGAAATACTTTTTAGTCCCGGTCCGTAACCACCCTGCCAACCGGGACTACGAATCCGGGACTAAAGATCGCTATCTTTAGTCCCGGTTCCCGGTTGGTAACATCAACCGGGACTAAAGAGAGGGGATCTTTAGTTACCAACCGGGACTAAAGAGAGGGTTGCGGCAGTGAGATAATCCCATTTTTCTTTTTTTTTCTTTTTTATTTTCTCCCAAATCAAGTGGGATACATATCCCAAATCAAACCCCCAGTCCACAAATCGAACTAACATCTTAAATCTACATCACAAATCAAAGTTACTTATACACACAAATAAATACATCGCAAATCAAATACATCACAATATCCTAAGAAATTACTCAAATACATCACAGATCCAAACAATGAATCACAAATTTGTAACTTCTCAGTCAAATACATCTCAGTGAATCATCACAAATTAAAAAAAAAAAGAATGCCGCTGCGCCGCCGGTCGCCATGATCTACGGGCGCGGCCCCACCGGCAGCCGGCCGCCGCCCCGGAACCGCCGCCCACCGCCGCCGCGGCCCCGCCGCCCGCCGCCCGCCGCCGCGCGCAGCGCCGCCCGCCGCCGCAGTGCGCGGCCCAGCCGCCGGCCGACCCGCCGGATGGGAAGGGGAGGCCGGCCGGGAAGGGGAGAAGGAAGGGGAGAGAAGGGGGAGGAGAGAGGAGGAAGGGGAGGAGTTGGAGAGGAGAGGAGGAAGGGGAGGAGTTGGAGAGCTAGAGAGGATAGATCTGAGGAGAGGGGTGAGATTCGATCTGTTAAGTTGTAACGAGAGGATAAGGGATAGGGATTATATACTACGTGTTTAATTTTAGTCCCGGTTGGTAGTACCAACCGTGACTAAAGTGGTGATCTTTAGTCCCGGTTATTGACACCAACCGGGACTAAAGATCCTCGGCCCCCTGACATTAATCTGACAAGGGATGAACCGGGACTAAAGATCATCTTTAGTCCCGGTTGGTAACACTAAAGATCAAAATTTTTATAACCGGGACTAAAAACAATCTTTACTCCCAGTTCTATTTGGATCCGGGACTATTGTGGATTTTGCCGGACCGACCAAAGATGGTTTCTCCACCAGTGCTAGCAAATGTGCCCGTGCGTTGCAACGGGAAGTGTACAGAAAATTGAGAAAAAGTTAAGAAAAATTTACATTATGTAATTAATTAAAATAAAAATTTGCTAAAATATTTGGTATTTTTAAGTAGGTAGGTGTATAATTAAATCAATTTACAAGTAAAGCAAGTGCGAAAAATAAAATGACATGGTTAAATTTAATTTTATTAAATTCTTCATGATTAGTTAAGTTATTTGGAATTTTCTTGGAATTATCAGAGCTTAATTACTAATTTTTAATAATACAAACATCATTTAACAATTATTTAATTGGAAAAAGAATCAAAATCCTCCTTCCTATGTTTGGGCCGAATATAGAAAAGTTTATATTCCCTCCCTTTGTCTATTCTATGTGTCGCCCTGTTCCTTTCTCCGTTAAAGTCCATTTTACGTCCTCCATTCGGTGGCCCAATAGGCCGGCGGCCCGACGCGGGAGCAGCTGGAGCCGTCCGATCGAATGGACGGTCCAGATTAATCCTAACCTAAATAAATACACCCAAACCCTAAGCATTCATTCCCCCCCCCCGCCCCACCCCCGCCCCGAGCGACGACTGCGGCGCCGCCCCCCCTCCCACTTCCCCCAACCTAAGCGGCGACGATCGCCCCACCCCGAGCGACGACGGCGGCGGCGCCCCCCCTCCCCCACCGAGCGGCGACGGGCGACAGCGTGGAGCAGCGGCCGCCCTCCTCTCCCTTGCCATGGGGCCCCATGAGGGCTCGACTGTGGCGAGCGGCGGCACCCTCCCTTCCGGCGGGAGGGGAGGCGGCGGACAGGGGCATCCAGTGCCCTTCCCTCCGCCGGATCCAGTGGGAAGGGAGGCGCCGGCGGCCTGCCGGCATCCCAGCGGCAGCGACGCCCCTCCCCTCCGCCGGATCCAGCAGGAGGGGAGGCGGCGGTGGCCCGCCGGCGTCCAGGCAGCCGCGGTGCCCCTCCCCTCCGTCAGATCCAGCGGGAGGGGAGCTGGCAGCGGCAGTTTGGCGGCGGCGGCGGCGGCGGTTCGACGGCGACCTCCCCTTCGATCTTTATATATATATATATATATATATATATATATATATTTGTGTATATGCTTCCTCTGATTTTATTTGTGTGATTGAATTCCGATTGGGAAATTTTTTGGGTGGGAGTGATTGAATTCCGATTGGGATTTTAGGGGGGGGGGGGGAGGTGGCGGACGAAAAATTGGTGTATGGATGTGGTGAGGACCGGAAAAATACGAATATTTATATTAGTTATAGAAGTCCTTCTCTAATATTCGCGTCTTCACCGAGCCATATTTATATAGGAGCACTCCCTCCGTCCTAAAAAAAGACAAACTTTGACTGTCCGTCTTATATGAAATTTTTTTGTAATTCATATTTTCATTGTTGTTAGATGATAAATATGATTAATATTTTATACGTGCTCTCAAAGTCCTCCCGAAGTAAATCAATGGTCTAATGATGTCGGCTAAGGGCAATTCCTGTAAGCATTTGAATTACTGCTCCTACCAAGTAAATCACAATCAAAAGAATAGTGATCGTGTACTTACATTCACAATCTTCATGTAGGATCGTAAAGGGCCTTTCCCACCTCAAAAGCTAGCCATTGAGGTGAGGGGCTCCCCCACTTATATCTTAGGTCCTTTGCCCTTCCACAACCAATGTGGGACTATTCAACAATCTCCCCCTTCACACATTGGTGTCCCTCAGCCCTTCACCACCCCTTCACCGTATCCGGGCCCCCACCGGCCCACGGTCCATCAGGTATACATGCCCCGCAGGCACCCACGGTCCATCAGACCTTCACACGTGTCCATTGGGCCAGAGATGTTAACCTAGCCTGGCTCTGATACCAATTGTAGGATCGTAAAGGGCCTTTCCCACCCCAAAAGCTAGCCATTGAGGTAAGGGGCTCCCTCACTTATATCTTAGGTCATTTGCCCTTCCACAACCAATGTGGGACTATTCAACACTTCGCCCGTTCAGTCGAGGGAAGGTTTCAAATCGAAGTCGAAACATTGTCGACCATTGATGCCTGGTCGGTCACGATGGCTTTGACACGCTCCTTCATCACCAGTGGCGAACGCGGCTTTAGAATATAGATGGGTGGAGAATGGAGATGTTCACTCCATAAGAACAATCGAACACACAACACATATCATATTAATGGTCCATTCATATAAGTGTCTCAATCTGTTGGGTGTTTATACCTTGTTATACCTAATTTTGATGTCCCATGACTACTATAAGGGAATAAAGGGGTCTTAAAAGTATGGGGCAACACGAGTCGTAGCCGAGTCGGTCGACCCACCCCGTCTAATGGGTTGAATCTAATGATGTGCAAAAGCCCCTACGATTCCATACCCATCAGACCACGTCTCAGAATATCTTTACTCTTCCACTTAAAAACCTTTAGTGCATGTACAATAGCAGACTATAAGCCAGCTATAAACATATTTTGAGGAGATAAAAGAGGAAAGAGAATAGCAGTGGACTACATATTTGTAGCTAGCTGTAGCACGGATTGCAACTTTACAAGACACAATGTGTGTATAATAGGTAGAACCAGATGACAATAGTGTAGTATATATTTATAAATAACTATTGTATGCATTAGCTATTAAATTGACTATAGATGATTTGGAGCTAGTAGTTGGCTATACTATTACAGCAAGTATAATAGAGGGCTATAAGAAGGCTGAATGCTAAGGTGGATAAGAGAGTAGATGAGAGAGATGAGAAGCGAGCTGTAATTTTATAGCCGGCTTAGATACATGAACCAAGAAAATCTGTAAGACTGACATGTGGACCGTATATTTATACTGAGAAGTTAACCACTATATAAGTGAGCTAAGAGATAGGCTATAAAGATCTATACAGTAAGCGGCTGGCTGTATTATTATCCTTCTCTTAACTGGTTTTAGAGGGGGCCAAGTCCCAAGACACTTGTTGAGTTGGTTTATCGACAAGTGGAAAGACAAAGGGAGGTAGTTTCTGTGTGGAGATAAAATCATTTCCTCCAACCTTTTTCCTATAAGCTAGGAACTGAAAGAGATGTATCGCTCTTTCGTTACTAGTAGTGATACCAATGGTTTTTTTTTTCTTTTTATAAAGCTATAACTAGCAAATATGCATGTGCGTTGCAACGAGATATCCAAATTATGTGTGTTATTCCTATTTGTAGTGTAATTTATTTTTTCTTTTCTTGTACGATAGCGGAGTGACAGATGATTGACATGTGATGTGGGGATTTTTTTAAAAAAAATGTTTGGCGTGGGTCTAGTATGTGTGATAGATGGAACATACACAGAGATATGGGTCTTGCCTAGGGATGATAATAGGACCTAAGGTCAATTAACGTATTGCTAGTTCTAATGATTCGTATTCACTTAAAGGAGTTGGCTGAAATCACTCCATGGACTTGATGATAAGCCTGGGATGGTGAATCAAACTCCACCCCTGTACATTTTAATAAAAAGATGTGTAGTATTTGATTATCTAAATTTTAATAAAATCTATTACATACACAACATGTGAATCAATGAAAAAGCAATCAATTAATAGCTAAAAGTGCTACAGGGAAAAAAAGCACAACACAAACGTCATATCAAAAATGCACGGGTCGATAAAATTAATAAAATTTACTTATACATTATGTAAAATATCTCATTGGAATTATTTTTACAGTGATAAATTGGTAAAAGGAGAGTATAGAAAAGAAAGAAAAGTAAAAACGAACAGTGTAGCATCGCCTTGGCTAGCTGTTCATACCACTTCGCTAATCCGCTCACCTTGCCTCGTTACCCACCTCTTGTGGCTCACCGGCACCAGGTGGTTGCATCCGACAGCTATAGGCCATTATATCCACCGAATTTGACGCCCTGGTGACTAAGAATGAAGAAGATAATTTGGAGTCAACCTTGATAAATAGGGAGAATCGAGACTATGCTCAGAGAAGAGCCAATTTCCACATGGTCCGAGATATTGGGTGAAAAATATTTATATTAAATTATGATAAAAAAAATAAAGAATATGTAGAATTGGAACTATGCTAAGAGAAGAGCCAATTTCCATATTGTCTGAGATATTGGGTGAAAAGATTTATATTAAATTGTGAGAAAAATATAAAAATCGAAAGAGTGGGGAATAATTTTATTTTTGAAATGATAATTGATTGATGATTTTTTTTTAAAAAATATCTTGATGATTTCAAAATAAAAATAAAATTCTCATGCAGCCAAATGGGCCTGATGCCCTACCAGACTGCTTGTGCATGACGCGGACCATTCGGCACAGGTGGGGGGCCTAGTGAGGAGCTGTCTCAGACTCGCAGTTGGGGGCTATGGACAGATGGCCCAGCTGGCCCAGAGAGGAGATCAGCAGCGATGTTTTTTTTTTTTTTTTGAAGGGAGATCAGCAGCGATGTTGGGTTGAGAGGATATGCGCATCACGGGCCCAACTCTTTCGATTTTTTTCACGGGGGGTAACAGATAAAGAAAATCGGAGACGGATAAAAAAAATTGGAAAGATCAAAAACAGAGCTCGAATCACATCGGACGGCTCTGGATCTAACACGGCCGAATTACACCCGGAAGACGGTGGGGTGGAAGCGTATTCGGACTTCGGAGACCGATACATGCGAAGGATTCCGAACCCGATTTTTAGTGGGGGCCGTATTTGGTGTACATATATCGACGCAGACCCGCGACCCGTTAAGCCTATCTCATCGATCTCAGATCGGGAAAGGGGAATAAGCGGAGGGCAAATTCCGGCGCCGTCGATGGACTCTCCGGCGACGAATCAATCCGTGGAAGACAAAGCTCCAGCAATTGATCCTTCGGAAAGGCATCCCTTGGAGGAAGACAAAGCTTCGGTGATGGATCTTTCGGGCAAAGGTAAGGCCTTGGTGGTAGATCCTTCGGACCTAGGAGTATGTAGAACCGAAGTGAAAATCCCGGCGTCTGCGGTGAATCCCTCTGGCGAAGGCAAGGCGCCGATGGAGAAGAAGAAGAAGAAGAAGACGAAGACGAAGATGGCGCGATTTACCCAAGCGCAGATCAACAACTGCATGGCTTTCAAGGAAGAGATGCCCGACTTCGACAACATGCCGAGTATCATCGAGATCCTCGGCGACGACCTTGCCAAATGTTCGCAGGAATACATTGATGAGCTGAAGGCGATCGACGACAGCCGAGAGGAGGATAAGAAATTCTGGATAGAGATGAACCGCCAAATCCGCGAGGAACGGGAGGGCATCCTCAACCAGTACTACACCAAAGGCTACGCCGAGTACGAGGTCGACGACGACGAAGACGAAGACGAAGGCAATAAAGGTCATGCTCGAGTTGCTGCTACCTCCGGCAGGAGAAGGTTCCGTCACGGGGTCGCCCTGAAGAAGAACCAATCAGGAGGAGGAAGCATTAGAAAGATATGATGAATAAATATCAGTGTAGGCATCGATCCAACTTAGTGAACTGAATAATCATCAGTGTTGTTGGCATCGATCCAGCTTAGTTAGTGTGGGGGATTTTACTTACCTTTTATTTATCAATACAATAATGTACTGTGGGTTGACTATGATTTGCCAATTTTCGTACTATGCTTTGATTTTAACCTCTAGTATGGTTTCACCCTGTTCAGCATTGATCCATTTTCCTGTTCAGGAACCAACACAGTTAGAGTCTGTTGTTTAGACTAGTTTTGTTGACTGCTCTCTTAGAGACACACCTGAAAATGGTATTTGCTAATGGTTTCAATTTGGAGCCCTCGAGCCAATCTAGAAATTCTATAGACTAGTTTTGTTGATTGCAAAAGCTTTTGACATGTTTTCTTTCTACGATTCTCTAGAGTCACATGATAAGGATTCCAATGAACTCAGAACCTTTTTGACAGTCATATGAGAATAATGGCTCTCTGCTACCACCATTAGTTTCTCCAAATGCCTGTGCAAGTAGGATCAACACCTGAAATGAATGACTTCGGTCAGGCAGTGTGCTTGAGACAAACAGACATAAAATTGTCAGTTAGCTTGCAAACCGTGAGTGGTTCACCGTGTAGTATCAGGTCTTGCGAATTTGTTGTTTTTAACTCATATCAAATTTGTGTGACTGGCTGCAGTGAAGCTTGTCTTAATGCTTCAAGTTATCTGCATATGTTATCTATGATATGCAGTGGACCTGGAATGGCGCTTACATATTTCCTGTATGATTTTTTGTTTGAGTATTCTCTGTTGATATTACTTTCATGTGAATCTGCAGTAACTCACACATATCAAAAATGAGTTTTTACATTACATGATACTTCAAAATCTTGAGCAGATACTACTGTTTTGAAGGTCAAGTTGTTTATAATTGTATTTGTCTTAAATTTTTTGAATGGAATTTTTTATCTTTTGTTTTATTACAAATCTGAACCTTACCAAGAGCGGTTTAGCCGATCACAAGGCTCAATTCCTGCCAGCAACCGAGAACAAACAAGACTTGAGACAAAGAGAATATGAAAATAATTGCTAATCTAAAAGGCACACAAATAATAGGGTGAGGTTCTGTAACACGCGTTGTAGTATGTATGCGCACGGAGCTAAACTAATCTAAATAAAACCTAAATTGACACGAGGAGATCCCACCAATATTTCATAATACCTCATTCAGATTGAGGCAGTTTTAGGTTTCATACCAAGCCTAACACAGTTTCATCTGCCTATCCTTGATAACCATGCCAGCTTTTCCTTTTACAGGTTTGCAGCAGTAAATTTTTCACCGTGCGAGTGAAAGAATAGTAGAAAAACTATTTCGCAGGAAGTCAACGGAGCTCAGAGAAACATCTACAGCCTTACAGGTTATGCTCAACTATACTCTCAACATCTCTGTTTTTTTTTTTTTGAGAAAACCCTCAATTTCTCATGGACACAAACCGTACAGCCAAGGGGCTAGACTGTTCATGGATGGGCCGGAATTTTAGTCCAATTCCACGGCTCTTACACGTGTATGGTCCGTAGCTTTCAAGGTGACTACCTGATGCTATCGATCGAGGATACTTGATGAACAGCAAGACTAAAGGCCAAAACCATAAATAACAAAGAATAATACCTAGATGACCTTTCTGCGAACTATACATGCTCTCGGCCTCAGTGGGTTGTCAATGAATGACTGAATGATTCTGCCACTCTTAGGGGTTTGCATTTTATAAAATGCAGGATAATTGCTTATTTGCTCAGTGGAAGATTTCGTCACGCCAAAATATGTTTATCAAAGGAAGCTGCACCAGTCAACCTGTAATTGATTAAAATATCTTCAACAGGCTGCTCCATTTAGTTTCCGCTTAAAGACTCAGGATAACTGGGCTACCATTTTTATTTTTTTGGGGGAACTTTTACATTTTATTGAGCAAGATATTATTGGTCTTGACCTTATCCCTCACAACAAGTGAGGAACATGTGCTACAGAGAGTTTTGATATCATTGCATTCATCATGCTTAGGTGTGGTAAGCTGAAATACTGAGTTGCCATGTACTCTTTTTTTTTTTTACCAGATCCCTGTCTCTTCAACTGCATGACCATACTCTCCAAATTGGTCTTTTATCCGGATATTGCCCCTTTTTATCACTTCAATTCTCAAAAAAGTGTGTTCATGGCCATGTATGCAGATGTTGCATCTAAAATGCTTGCTCTCATCATATATCAGTGAATAGTTTGTCTTCATGCTAATACCAGATCATGGTTCATATTGTTCTGTAATGGGGGATATATTACTGTGTAAAAGAAGTTCACTGTTCAGAAAGTATATTTGTTTAAGTACAAGCTCAGGTCAATTATTGCCCATTTGTCTCATGGATCGCTTGGCTATTTCTTTCGGTATGGTCATTCGTATCCACAGAGTTCTCGACAGCTGACACCTTCTATCAGCACTGATTCTTGACTTATATGTGTTTTACAAGTCATAGAATATATTGACGTATACTTCTTTTTTTTTTCCAAACGGCCAAACAGATTAATTGGCATTATATTAATAGAAGGGGTTTAAGTACACAGCCAAAGGCTGAAAGAAAAGGAAAAACTGTATACTTTTGTTTCATCTTTGAATTATGAGCACATTTTTATGCATATGCCACCACACTCTGCTTGTTATGTACCATACACTGTCAGTTCAATCTCACTTTTGCTGTCCGAAATTCTGATGTGAAGAACAACTTTGATCCTATGATGGACCAGAAGAATATAGTCTTTGCTCAGTGCATAGAAAAAGCTTCAAAGAAATGGTCCTCCAGTACAAAATAACTAGCTCAATCTTAAAATCCTTGGTCATGCTCATGCACTCATGCTTTATTGTACTGGTCCTGCCAAGTATGCAGGCATTTTTGTTGTAACCTGGTTTACTCATTTCTGGTTTCTGCCCAACTTGATGCTGGACAATGGCAGAAGCTGATGATGCCTGGATAGAAATTCTCTTGAGGCTGCTGGGAACTACTCTTGGATTTATTCAGCTCCTACAACCATCAATAATGTACTCTATTTCTAGACCTGGAATGATATTATTTTACTGTGAAATGGAAAATGACAGAACCCATTTATAGCTGCTCCCCTTGCTACACATTTAGAGATCAAATCTTCGCTCTCACTTCATCTTCAAGTCTTTCGTATTGGCTGCTGCAATTCAGACGCAGGACTTCTGGTCAGTTGTCGATGCTATAACTGGTGAAGTTTGTTACAATTCTACTATACATGTGGGCTCGGTGTGTATCACGCGACACATGTAACTAGTCCTTGTATACATTGCTGGTTGCAGGATTGGTTTTCGCCTTTAAGCTGGAGCGTGGCACTGGCAGCTGCGGTGGTTTCAGAAGTTGCATGGACCACTTGAGACGGTTTTTGTTGGAAGCTTCAGAGATGGCGAGCATCCAACCCTCGCGTGGCTGTACGTGCTCAGGGGCACTGTAGGTGAGGAAATACTGTCGCCTTGCTACTAACTCTGCTCTGACTCCTCCGCTCTTAAATAAAAACTCTGTCCTGACTCTGCAGCTTGTGTTTTTATCTCGCATTGCATTGCTGCAACTTGATTCTGTGCTTGGAAATCTGTTTGATTGTATATTCATTTTGTGTGGCACACCAACTTTCTTCTTTGCTTTTGCTGGGTAATTTTTTCTGTATTCGATGTTATTAAGCATAGTGCTAACTACCAGTAGTACTCTAGTAGGGCCTTCAAGGATGCTGGTTAAATGCTACTCCTATACACTGGCCGTGAAACATTTAGCACCAGTTTATAGAGACCACATGCTTGTCACCTCATTGTTTTTGTGTGAGAGATCATTAGTTGCTGGAATATCTTTTTTTTTTCTTTGGTGTAATGGGGGGGTGACGGGAGTATTGTAAAGGAGGATATGTACGCTGCACGTACGTAGCCTTTGGGCTTTGATGGGCATGCTCGTGTCGCCACGAGCTGTGGGCCATATTCCAAGGTTTTGTCAATGATGGTCACTTGATGCGTTTATCAAGGCTGGGGCCCATCTGGAGAAGAGGAGCTTTTGACAGCAAACAAAAATGGTGGATGCAGAGCTGCAGGCTGCAGGGACGGAGAGAGAGAGAGAGAGAGAGAGAGAGAGAGAGAGGCGTGGGAGTGGGACAAAAGGGTGGAATGGCTGCAGAGAGATTGAGAGAGCGTTGTATAAACTGTAAAGAGGAAGACAGAGAAAGAGAGGAGAGAGAGAGAGGTACTACTATGCATGATCTAGGGTTCGATACGATGGAGTATTTGACTTGTCCTCCGTGTACAATAACATCCCTATCAATAGAGGCTTTCAGGCAAAATGGCACGAGGGGAAGAGGGATGCAGCGTGCATGACTCTCACTTCTCAGAGTATGGTGATAGTAAGAGTCTAATGGCAATCTGGCATAGCAAAGGTTATTTAGTTATAGAAGAGTTCCAACACACACTTGCTGCTCTATGATTTTCTTGCTCTACATTCATAGTTCATGCCTTGACCTTCGGTGTTGGCCCTGTTACCGTTAAGAGGGAAAGGAAGAGAGAGAAGGCAGGCGGCTGCAAAGCTGAAAAGCTAAAGACAAAGAAGGACACTTTGGCCAAAGCATGAAGCATATAGATCCTGTTTTGACTGCCTTCACAGTCTGTATGGACTATGGACGCCTTGCCATCTCTTCATTTCGGTTTCAGCAATTAGTTACCCTATGGAGTTTAGATCAGTACTTAGTAGTGGTACTTAGTTTCTAACTTAATTAAGTTCTGCTATGTGCTTAGGATTTCATGGTCCTACTTGTACTTTACCATTTTTTGCTGGTTTCATATATCCTTCTTGTGGCCTGATTTGTACTTTGCATGCATCTGATATATTTTCTTTTGACATGGCCCACACTACAGTTTATCAGGCATAAAGTTATTGTCTGTGCAAGTACTAGGCACTAGCTTAGTATGTGTTTAGTTTAACATTTCTAAGTATGTTAAAATCATATAAGCGTCCCAAAGATACATTTCCATCTGATGCAGCTCTCTCAAAATGATTCTGGAAACTGTGATGAGAGCACGAATCTTTACAGAGTAGTGCCCATTTTCTTAACAAGTAGATGCCTCGACTATCAGGAAGGCACACACAGGGATGCCCTTTTTTGGAGATTTGGGGAGAGCATGCATGTCCAAGATGGCCTTTATAGCTAATCTAGACCCTGAAACCTGCTTTGCCCTGCCATTAGCCTGACAGATTTATTTTATGAAGCCAATCATTCAGGCTTAATTCCCCTTGTGATCATCTAACTAGAGTAACACAAGTGCTCTCTTGTGTTACTTCAAGGTTGAACACAAGGCTCTATGAGGTTTTCAAACATTATTATTGTGTTGAGTGGGTCCACCAACCAGTGAAACAGCCTTCAGGATAGTAGTATTTCCTCATGCCATATTCTTGGTCAAGTATGCTCTCAATTCAAGAAGATTGGCCTTGTCTTGGGGAAGGGAGCAAATAGGCATGACAACTAGCCAAGGATGTACTTTTTGATTTACTACTAAACCTAGGCACAAGTCTAATCTCAAAGATTGAGCCAGTCTTGCTGTTACTATTTTCACTAGCGATCATTCTGAAGCTAACCATCTTTCTCACCCGCTCGTGCAACCTCTTCTATGAAGATGGGTCCCAAGAGCTAAATTTGCCATGCCTGCCTAGTAGGATCAGCTTATCATACAGTGGCATTGGTATATACTGCTCCACTGTACATATATTTTACTATTACTACCTTGTACATATGAATCTAGCGTGTGCACAATTGTTTAAGGCAAAGTGTGTAGCTTGGCCATGATTGGGGCACTAGTGCAGTATCTGTATTGATAGTATGTTATTTAGTCATGATCAACATGAACTTGGTACAGGGATCGATAACAAATCTGCTACTATTCAGGATTACTTTCTCTGAGCTGCCATGCATCCGTGGGAATTTTTGGGATAAACTAAGCAGAAAGGATGGGGCTTTGCACGACTTTTGACGGAGATAACCCCGGTCGTGATCTCTTGGTTCCAGGATTATGATGCTAATTGTTAATTATTGGCTGTGGCTTCAGAGTTCAGACGGATTGGCCAGTTCTGGCAAGAATGCTTACATTCTCTCCTGCCATCTGAGCAAATGATCATTGGAAATCGACTTCACGTGATTGGCATACAGGTTTTATTACTCTCTCTCCCTCTCCCCCCTAACCTAACACCTGTCCTCATGGTGTGATCTTCTTTCCAACTGATTCTGATGTTTCAACTCGTGGAATATGCACATGGAAAAATTCTCCAAAAAAATGCTGGATCGTTAATTCTGGATATATCATGGCTATAAATAAAAATATTACCTGTGCCCCGAGATATAAGCGTAGCCAAAATCCCTTATACTTTGGATGAATGTAGTATATATTTCCTACGTGAAGTAACAGAAATGAGCATGTGGGAACTGGACTAGGGTACGTTTAGCACGTGCCAGGCTCAATCAATTATTACTGCTCACTGCCAATAAAGTGTACGTTCATCCGTTAATCTACTTCTAAAAGAAAAATTCAATGCGATATTAACTGCAGAAATTTTACTGCACGGAAACCATTTTATGACAAGTGATGACTGCTTTGGCAGTGGACGGAGAAAGAACCCAGATGAATTAGACCATAACTACGGGGCAACAACCGAACCTGGCCAGTCAAAAATGTCATCAGAGGAATCGACCTGCCTGTTGTTTATTACAACCTGTGTCTGTTTTATTGCTGAGATCAGCTATTATTTCCATGTCTGTACTGAGATCTCACGGTCCGTTCGTGTCCTTTTGGTATAGGCTGCAGCTGACTTGTTTAGTACCCAGAAAGGTGGTATGAGCGTACCACGAGCATAAAAACAATCTAGAAATAAAAGTCACCAGATAATGACAGATAGTAACACTCTAGTCTATAGTGGTACTAGCATTTCTGCAGTAGGAGAGAAAGGGGAGTTTGCAGCATTAGGTGTGGTGATTTTTGCAGATAGAGGGTGTATTTTATTCAGTCAGTCAGGTAGTCTCCCTGGTTTTAAAGAAAGGAGGGCCGTATCAGAAAAGAAACTAATGGCATTTCTCTTTTTTCTCTCTTTTGCCAAGAACTATGTTCTTGAACACATCAAAAGCAACCAAGGAAAATAAAAGGAGTAGCTAGATGGGGGAAATAGAAGATGGTATTGCTTGTTGGACTGAAGGTGCAGGGTGCAGACACCCAATGGAAAATCTAGGAGGTAGAAGTGGGAACCAATGTGCAATCTCTTGCATCCAGATTCCAGCATCGCCTTCGAAAGGCATGCTTGGCGTGCCCAAGTACACACACGACAAGAGTCCCCTCCTCCCAACATCTCTGAAACTGTCAGCTACTCAGCTCCACTCCTAGTAGCCCTCCTGGTGAACTGCACTTGCCAATTGTCATATCTGATGAACTGTGCATTGAGGTAACAACTTCAATTGCCTTTCTCTCCTCTCTCTCTCGTAGGACTAATTAGATAATGAGTATTAATTGTGTAATCAAGGATACATTAGCAGTAGCATATCTGCTTTAATTTTATAACTATAGCTAGGAACAGTACTAGTACTAATTCAATTGCAATGTCTTTTTCCATGCAGAAAGGTGTGCATTCCAGCTCAGATTACATACATTCTCTTCGCCGTACAAGAGCACAAAATCTAGCAGCAGCCGAAGAGGCAACGACCAGTCCACCACATTGGAATCGAACACTCCTAGAGCCACTGGTCTCCTCCTCTCCGATTTGGAGTACCAAAGCTTGTCAAAAGAAAGGAACAAGAGCAGGGAAAAAAAGAGCATGAAAGGGACAAAGAAAAACAAACAAATTAGGGGCCGTAGCATATCGGCACCCAGCCCAAAAACGCAAGAAAAACGTCTTGGAAGGTAAAAAAGTGAGATCTCTCTGAACAAGTGAAACGCCCTCTCCTTCCTGACTTTTTTTTTTCCTTTGGTTCTTCCACCAGCTTCTTTATCTGCTGCCTGAGTGGCCAATGGGAGTGAAGGATCAAAGGAACAACAACAGGTCAGTAGTAGTAGTAGTACACTGTTGCAAAGGTGTGCCAACATAATATAGTACACTCCTATATAAATGAAGCTGGACTCAAGTTCAGATGCCAGTAAACTGATAATATCCTGAAATTTTGAGTTCTGTTTATACACACATCCTCTAAAACTTCAAGTTTTTTTTTTAAAAAAAATCTAGTACTTTGCAGTAGGAGCTATACATTGCACGGAATACCATGTGTTGAGTAGTAGTAGCCCTTCACAAATTCACATGCATAAATACCGCAGTGCTTCTTCCTCCCAAGGGTACTGTGTCTGCCTGTCTGTGTTGTTTGCCCTTCTTCCATTTGCGCTCCTTCTCTTGGTTTTGCAAGAGCAACGAAAAGCAGAGACTGACCATCCTAAGATTCCTCTACACTTTATTCTCTCCCATCCTCACACGTATTTCATTTCACCTCCATAGACTGAAGTTTTTGAAGGAGAGAGACCTCCCTCTCAGTCTTTCACTCGTGCTGCTGGCTCAGCTCAGCTCAGCTCAGGGCCTCTTCCTCCAAGAAGCTGAAGGCTAGTAGTAGCATCACATTTGTTCTCCTCCCTTTGCTTCAGAAGCCAGCTAGAACATTAGTGTTACCAGCCTCTTTCCTCCAAAGAGAATCCAGATTTTGTTCTCATTCTCAATCCTCCTCATCTTCTTTCTCTCTCTGTGTGTGTCTCTCTTCATCCTCTTTCCATCAAATCACAATCTTTGTTTATAGAGAAACAAACAGTGGCCAGCCTCATTGTCTTCTACCTCTTCTTGGCCCCTACCTGCCATCAAACTGCCCATTTCGCTGCAACCAACAGTTTGTTTGGCTGCATGAGTGTTCCCCTGAGAAACAATGAGAGATGGCAGCAACACTACCAAGAAGAGCAAGGTACATCTTCATTCTTGGTCTCTTCCTGAGCCTCTTCATTGTGATTGTAAATGCCGTGTTTTCTGATTCTTAAATGTGGTGTTTCTTTATGTTTGTCACAACCTGTAGCTGTCATGGTCCAAGAGCTTAGTGAGGAAGTGGTTCAACATCAGGAGCAAAGCCCATGATTTCCATGCTGATGATGTAGCTGCAATTGGGAGGAGAGGTGCGCATGCGTTTGGGTTTGCGAGTGTGTGTTTTTTGCGTCTGTGACCCTGTTTGCTCCAACAGTGAGCTCGCCATGTCTCTCTTTCAGTCTTTCTTTGCCCTGTTTCTATCAACTCTCTTTTGCCACTTGTGGAAAGCACTATGGTTTCCTGGTTTTCCAATATATTTTTTTACAGTTTGTTAGTACACATTGATCAGGCAATCTGTTCTGATTGCAGGAGGTGATGATGAATGGAGGGGAAGCAGCTTCACCCGGAGGGAACCAAGCACAGTCAAGAAGAGCAAAACAGGTTAGCAAACTACAAAAGACTGAACAGTTTCGTGTTTTTTTCGTCTTGATTGTGCCATTTCTCATTGCATTCGCCACTGCCGTGAAATGGTTTGCTCAGAGAGGTCGTCGAGGAGGAGCCATGAGCGGTCGAGGCGCGGCAAGATCGACCTCGACGCCGCTGAGGCCACCGTAACATTAGACTATAAGTAAGCCTCTGCACTCGCAATGTTGGTGACACCCAATTCTTCCCACATTTGGGCTGCGCGTGATCCCTCTTGTTCTTGAAGTAGGATCTTTGTTGCCACATGGAATGTAGGTGGCCGATCACCCCCAAACACCATGAGCCTCGAGGACTGGCTCCATGCTGCACCTCCTGCTGACATCTACGTCCTTGGGTACTTGTTCTTGTTTCATCTCGCATATCTGAATTCGTGTCAGATATCACAACTCTGTTGGTTCGATTTCAGTGATAATTTTGATGTTGTCATTTTGTTCAGGTTTCAAGAGATCGTCCCATTGAATGCTGGGAACGTTCTTGGGACAGAGGACAATGGCCCGGCAAGGAGGTGGGTGTCACTGGTCAGAAGAACTCTGAACAACTTGCCGGGTACTAGTGGCAATGGTAGCTTTCGGACGCCATCTCCGGCGCCTGATCCTGTGGTGGAGATGGATGATGACTTTGAGGGATTGTCATCGAGGCAGAACAATGCGTCCTTCTTCCACCGCCGGTCATTCCAGGCCGGACTTAGCCGGAGCTTGAGGATGGAGGGTGACATTCTTGCACCCCAGCCTAGGCTGGAACGGCGGTACAGCGTCTGCGATCGAGCTATCTATGGCCGTCGGCCTAGCGACTACGAGGCCACCTGCCGGTGGGGTGGCTCATCGGACGATGAGAACAACACTGGTGAATCGCCAAGTACAGTTTATTCACCAATGTCGTATGGATACGGTAATCCGTCATCTCTGGAAGAAAGCCATAGACCGGCTGGTCATACTAGGTAATTTTCAAGCATTAATTTTGTATTCCTCTTTCATGAAATTCAGAGGCCCATTTTGGTTTCGCTTCAAACAAAAAAAATGTGGCTCATGTTATTGTTAATATGGTGTCCAGATATTGCCTAGTTGCAAGCAAGCAAATGGTAGGATTGTTTCTGATGATTTGGGCCCGGAAAGACATAAGGGATGACATTAGAAATCTGAAGGTTTCTTGTGTTGGGAGAGGATTGATGGGCTACCTTGGAAATAAGGTAATTCAGAGTTTCCCAATGTAGTATAGCAAGTGTGATTTTTGACTATTTACCTTGTATGGCTTGATTGCAACCAAGAAACTCTTCTTAGCTTAGGTATTCAACGGTAAAGGATTTGTTTTCCAGGGTTCGATTTCGATTAGCATGTCATTGCACCAAACAAGCTTCTGCTTCGTCTGCAGCCACCTGACATCAGGACAGAAGGATGGTGATGAGATGAGGAGGAATTCAGATGTATTGGAAATCCTTAGAAAGACCAGGTTTCCAATGGTTTATGGACAGTATGAGCGTTCACCAGAAACTATCTTAGAGCATGAGTAAGCAACGAACCTTGGCACTTAGCACAGGCTCTTAAAGCTTGTTCCATATTCATGTGTTATAATTTTGGGGCCTCTTCTTCTGCCTTTTATTTCAGACGAATCATCTGGCTTGGGGACCTAAATTACAGAATCGCGCTTTCCTACCGATCGGTGAAGGCCCTCGTGGAGATGCGCAATTGGAAAGCATTGCTGGAGAAAGATCAGGTGAGGGTTTGTAAACCTTCTTGAGTACAGTATCGGAATGAGTGTGTATGTAGCGTTGAACCCCTAGAAAGCAGTAAAATTCTTGTGCCACAGGCAATCAGGTGCTTTCTGTCTTGTCATTCTTTTACTTTATCATGTTACTAGATTTCTGATGGCTTGGCAAAAAGCTGGGGAGCTGTTGTTTTGAGTTTGAAAAGAAAAGGACATAATGTTTTCATTATAAAATTGATTCTGAAATAATGTATGATCTGAAATATCGAAAAACTTGACACTTTCAGTTAAGGATTGAGCAAAGAGGTGGGCGAGTATTCGTTGGGTGGAACGAGGGGAAAATATACTTCCCGCCAACATACAAATACTCGAATAATTCCGACAAGTACGCTGGGGATGACATGAACCAGAAGGAAAAGAAGAGAACGCCTGCATGGTATTTTGATTAGACACTATTGGTTCCAGAATTTTTGCTGGATTTTGTACAGTAATAGTAAATTTAATGATTTTTTGTGCAGGTGTGATCGTATTTTATGGTATGGAAGGGGCCTTAGTCAACTGTCATATGTTCGAGGTGAATCTCGCTTTTCAGATCATAGACCGGTCTACAGTGTCTTCAGTGCAGAAGTAGAATCAATCAATCATAGTAGAATCCAGAAGATGAGTTGTTCAAGTTCACAACTGGACATTGAGGAATTGCTGCCCTACTCATATGGATATACTGATATTAATCCATATGGATACACTGACCTGAATTTCTACTGAAAGTATTTGAGAACTTTGATTGGCATCCTCTGAATGTTTACTCCTGCAGCTATTGATGAAGTGGTATGATTGGGAGAGTGATCTTAGTTCTAAACTGAAATGTCCGTGTTCCATAGATACTAATCCAATAATTTCCAATGGCAGGCTGCATTGTTGATGGAGATCAGAGGACCAAGTGAACAGGTTCACATTGAATGTAGCAAAATCCCAGAACAGCACATTGCACATCTTCAGAAGTTCACCAAGCATTTGAATAGTTCGCAAGATCGATTCATTGTGACAAAGGTACTTGTGTGATCAATCTCATGCCAAAATATCTACATGACATTTTTGGTGAAGGAGAGTTGTAACGAGCAATTTTGTCATGTTCCTCTCTTTTGTGCAGCCAAGGTATGGACCATGTTTCACTGAACCCTGAACAAAGTTAAATAGATGCTGCAACTAGTGGGGATGGTGTGACTCAAATTATGAAACTGACTCCAAAGAGAATAAGGAACCGAGATGACCACTTACACAGCAAAAGGAGAGGAACAACGGCAGATAGGACGATCACTCAATCATAAGTACAGCAGACTTTGGCCACCAACAGCAAAGATACTACTGAGTACTGACAACAACGGCAAGCGTCCACCAGAATTTTCATCTGTACATTGTAGTGCAGTTATTTTTTCTTCTCTTTTTTCTCCTTTTTATTCCCTGGTTTTGGACTGTAACGAACAAGTAGAAACCATTTGCAGTTTTGCACAGTGCATTGCACTTCTTTGTGTGGGTATTTTAAAGCTGTAAGAAAGGGCTATGAATGCCTGCATTGTCCATATCATTTCCATGGATGGAAAAAGGATGTATAGGCTATCATTGTCATGTTTTTGTTTTCATGAGCATTGTCTGATCAATTGAGCTGACAAAAAGGCTACCAGTCACATACATTTTCACCAGCCTTCATTCACTCTACAGGGCAAAATGTGTTATACTACTACTACTCTATTCCTTTTGCATCCTTCCCACTGTTCTCATGGCTGGAGCTGAGAATAAAAAGGCAAGAAATGTGTTGTTGGGATCTGCAGAGACAGTGTGGACTCTATCGTCCGTCCTTACTCCCTCCGTATCACATTATAAGGGATTTTAATTTTTTAATTGCAACGTTTGACCACTCGTCTTATTTAATTTTTTTTTGCAAATATAAAAAACAAAAAGTTGTGCTTAAAATACTGTAGATAATAAAGTAAGTCACAAATAAAATAAATAATAATTTCAAAAAAATTTGAATAAGACGAATGGTCAAACGTTGCAAGTAAAAACTCAAAATCATTTATATTATGGGACGGAGGGAGTAACTTCTAGCTACTAATGGAGATATAGCATATATAGATTTTCGTAGCCATCATAGTCAGAAGTTGTTTTTTTTTTAATGGCGGAGGAAGTAAATCTTTGTTCTTGTGTTTTGTTGCGACTTGTGAGTGCACGCGCACGCGCTGATGAGGTCTACCTTGGAATGATTTGCTGCTTCTTTTGCACTGCACGATGGCCAGATTGAGTGCAACACTGCATTGCTGCAAAAAACACAAATGGTTCAGACCCAAATGGTTTCAGTTTAAAGCTACTACCATGCAGTCTGATTCAGTGGCATCAGTCCTGGCAAGGTTCATGCATGCACACCAATAGTTCTCGAGATGCTAGGTGATGATACAGAGAATCAGATATTGCTTCCTGAAGCAAATCATTGTCCACTAGAACAGGAGAAGAAGAAGAAGAAGAACAGAAGAGGACTGATTAGCAAAGGTGAAAAGCTATCAAATCTCTGAATCCTAACGACCTAACCCAGTCTCTTCACAGGGAAAATGCAAAGTTCTAGGCTGCTTTAACCTCAATTCCAGCCGAAGAAACCGACCTTCTTTTCACTTGACAGTGTCTCTTGCTTAACAGAAGAAGATAACCCTTGGCTGTGCCTCAAAAGGAGTGAGTTGGAGGAAATGACAGCCATCTTTCACCTAGCTAGCTCCTTTTCTGTGGGCGGCTAAAGAACTGTAAATTTTACCAAACCTATACAACAAGGTAAGTAGGTTGCTGCATGCATGTGCTTTGTTAATCTGGCACATATCCATGATCTGTCTTAGCTAGCACTTCAGTGAATATTTGTGCTGGCTAGGTATGCTACCATATGGGTGTCTCAGTGTCTGTGGAAGCTGTAAAGCTGTAATAATTCCCATCAGTGAGAAAGAAATGAATCTGTCATTATTTTTATGAGTCAATTTTATAAAACTACATATTCATCCAATCTATTGCAAAACTATAGGTTTAAGTACATATATCATAAAAATAAAAATACAGATTTAGCGTATCTGTTATCATAAAACTACATATATTTTCTCTAAAGGCAAAGAACTAGATTCAGTTGGTCATAAGATATTACTATCTCAAATATAAAATGCAGAGAATAATATATATCATAAAAGTAAAATTTTAATACTACAGGTAATTTTTAAGGAACGTAAAATTTCTCTATTTCTGAATACTGAGAACAAGATAACAAATTTGGCTGAAATCTTAGTAGTTTGACAATATTAATTACACCCAGAGATCAAGCAAACAATCAATTTCTTTCTTCGGGGCCTGTTCACTTTGATGCCATTTTCAACCTTACCAAATTTTAGTAAAGTTGCCAAAAAAAAAGTGGCTTCATTTAGTTTGCTGCCAAATTTTGGTAACTATTTAAGAAATTCTGGTAAAATTTTGGCAAGTTGCCAAAATTTGGTAAGGTTTTTTTTGGCATCAAAGTGAACATGCCCTTCTTCTTTTTAGTAAATAGAGGTATTTAATTTCCTGCAAATAAATCAATTAACTGATCTGTATATACAAGGAGACAGGAGTACGTACGTACACAACGATGGGGCCTCATCGGCTAAAATTTGAATTTTTAATCTTAAATTTGAAGCTGATTTTGAGGTTTTTCTATCGGAGTTTATTTCTCAGCATTTACTTTTAGATATCTAAAAACATATATATAAAAGTTTTATTCATAAATTATGTTTTATTTATAAATATGTCGTAAGCGAAACAATGGGTCCGCGAGTGAACTGATCGGGATGAAGAATCTCAGTGCGTATGGAGCAAACCGGGCATGGCATCGCATTGCATTGCACCCTTTGGACACTGAAGTGATTGGGAGAAAGAAAAGCGTATTGCGTGAGAAGACGCGACGGCTGATCGAACGACATGGCTTCTTCGAGAACCCCAAGCTCTCTCAAACTCAAAGCAAAGCATTCATGGCGAAACAGCCAAGGCCAAGGAGCCACGTTTTCGCATGGGGCCAGACCCATCTTATCATCTTACCGACGCAGCAAGTAGTAAGTGCATGCGCAGCTGTCAAGATTCATCAATCTTTCTAGTAATTATTGATGATTATCTATGTCTCTGCTAATGATTGGATAGAGTCACGATCTCACCTTTTTCGCTTATGCTTATACAACTTATCAGCTAAAATTTAAATTTTTAGCCTTAAATTTAAAACTGATTTTAAAGTTTTTCACCGAAGTTTATTTTTCAGCCTTTGCTTTTAGATCGTTAAGAACATGTATATAAAAGTTTTATTCACAAATTACTTTTCGTTTGTAAAATATGTCGTTTTGCTTATTCCACGAATAAGCGAAACGATGCGACCATCACATAGGCATGATCGATCAACCTCCTTTATCAATTATCAAGTTAGATTAAGAGAAAATTACCTGAACTTTTTCAGAGATATGTTTGTTAGCTTTTAAAGTGCAGTAATTGAGCTAGGCTTAATTAGTTTCCTCTTGAAATTGTTATCTGGTTTGACATCATTCTGATATGCATTCATCACTGAAACTCGATGGGAACAAAATAATATGAGTAGATTGCTGCCAGGGGGATAATGAATGATCACTCTCCTCCCTGCAAATGGACAATGCTGCACTTTTTCATTTAACAATCTTTTGCATGCATGGAGGAAACAGGTACCTAAAGGTAAGTACTATTATCATATCATGCAAAAGAATGGATATATATGCATGGAGGATAGCATCAAAGTTAGGAGGTTGAGGGGCCTGACCAGGCATGTCTCACCACCATACTTGCCATTGAAGCAATGGCTGGTGTTTTTACTGCAATGCTTCAACGTGAGATAATGATACAAAGTGGTTGAAGATAATGCTAAAAATTACCATGCACATGGAGTAGTAAAAAAGTTGGTAATCTTTACCTTTATACTAATTATGCACTTTAAAAGCTATCATACATATGTTATCCATAAACATATGGACTTTGATTAAATAGATTGTATTATCGTATACGCCGTATTAAGAATTCATGTTAGATGAAATAGGCAATTGTAAATATCATGGAGTCTTCAGGTTTTTTTTCTCCAAATTTCATTAACAAATGTAAATTCAAAATTAATAAAAAATGAAGCTATATCCATATATCTTGACTATTAAATTATTTTTAAAAGTAATAATTAGCTAGTCGTAGCAGATGTGGACTTTTCTAAATCTAACTTATTACAATTAGAAACAACCAACGTATGAAGCACGTATTAAACTTTTTATATTGCGCCAATCATATAAACCGGTACAATGTATGAGTTAACGATTAGTATATAAAATTTGATGTGTCCTCGCCAAAAAAAAAAAGAAGATGTGGAGTAGTCTTGGTTCCACATTAATAAAAAAAAGAACGTGAGAATAATACTACTTCAATCAATTTCATTTTTTTCTTTAAAGTTGTTACCATAGCATCGTCGTTCATATATAAGTCATAACCACAAAATTCTACTTTAAGTTAAGTCCGAAGTTAGGCAAGTACTCCCTTCATCTAAAAAAAATATTTTTTTTCTAAATTAATTTTCAGAAAATTGTCTTTTGCTGTCTGAGACAGAAAGGGTACATATATGCATACACTGCAATTAAGGCCTGGTTTAGTTTCCAACTTTTTCATCACATCAAAACTTTTCTACACACACAAACTTTAAACTTTTTCGTCACATCGTTACAATTTCAATATGTGTTTAGTTCCACGCTAAAATTGGAAGTTTGACTAAAATTGAAAGTTTAAAGAAAAAAGTTGGAAGTTTATGTGTATAGAAAAGTTTTGATGTGATGGAAAAGTTGGAAGTTTGAAGAAAAAGTTTGAAACTAAACAAGGGCAAACTTCCAATTTTGACGTGAACTAAACACACCCTAACCACTAAAGTACTAAACTATCTTTCAAGCAAACAATTAATCTGTCGGAAATTACCGATGGATAGCATGCATTTTCTAAAAAAATGTACCGATGGATAGACAAGAGTAGGAGCATCTGGAGCAAGGAAGCTGGAAGCAACCAACACATCATCGATCAGGCTTAGCTTTCGCTTCGAAAGCCGCGGAAAAGACCTTGGATTGGAAATGAGAGCAACCGAAGAAGACGATCGATCGAGAAGCCTATACACATGCTGCCCTTTTCCTTTGGAAATGCCCATCTTTTTGCGTGGCTCGGAAGCTGTCAGAATGAAGAACGATCGAATCGAACTATGGTACGTGTACTACAGTACAGTATATCCTCTCGATCTCTTGCATAGTTTCATGCGTGCATAGTGCATACATAAGTATGCGACGAGTTCTGACTCCAGCACAGGCAATGCGATGCACTACACAGTACAGTAGTACACACATTGTGCAACTGTAATGCATGCAGCTTGCGTAAATGGTGTGTACAGCGGTACAGTGTAGACAAAGAATATGCATATATGTTGTATACATAAGTTTGAGAAATTTTATAGTAATTGAAGAGATATCAAAAGGTACTTAAAAAATTTTTAGTGTAGATTTACATACCTCACAATATTAAAGATACCAAATTTTATGTTAGAAAATAAGGTAACACTAGCGATACTTACTTAAGAACAACAAAATCACTCACATAATTACCATGGTTCTTGTTTTTTTTTCCAGCTACTTTATCAAATCCGTAATTTTCTTGGCGGTCAAAAACCACCAAGTATAGCATGAAAACTGCCAAGGTTCATTATTCCGTCGACGGACCGTCAAGTCTAGAAAGTCAGGGATATTCAGATTTCTTGGCTGCTAACCATAAGAGAAGAGCAATTATACGGTCATTGAGGAGGTACCATGAGGTACCAAAAATTTAGTGTAAAATTTGGTACCTCATAGTAACTAGGTACCAAGAGGTACCAAATTTATAATAGAAAAAAGTGGTACCTCATGGTACCTTCTCAAGGACCATAAAATTGCTCATAAGAGAATGTTTTCTTAGCGATCGGACTGCCAAGCAAATTAAGAAGATTGCGAATGTTTGAAAGCGCCAAGAAATGTAACATTATCGGTCTAGATCGGCATGAATATATCTTTCCTCTAGGTCTATAAACATATTTTTTTAAAGCATTTTCTACCGCATTATTTAAACCACTTGTTCTTACTTACTCCTTCCTATAGCAATTCTAGCAAAAAGAATACAATTCTAGAGAACTGATTTCCCCTCTAACCACTCATCATTTAAATTTATTCTCAACTTACCACCAATGACCCTCCCACTCCCAAACACCATGATCAAATGGGTAATTTTTCTTCCTTCCTAATTTATCTTTTAAACGTTAGAATTGCACTTTTTATTGGGACAAACTAAGTGTACATGTTAAGTTTATTTTTCAAATATTTAATTTATCCATACCATTAAGTCGATAATTAATTAATACGCTGTAGATTCTAGCTAGTTTTTTTAGAAAGTTATTGGTCGGTTTTCGACAACCGACAGGAGCTAGTCGTTGTGCAGTCGCATATATACATCGGTATTTCATGCAGTTTCGATCGATCGAGCACGAGCAGTGTTTTTGTACCGGTTATGATCTGCACATATATATACATATATATATATATATATATATATATATATATATATATATATATATATATATATATATATATATAGTAAATTTGTTTGGTGCTCCATGGTGCCCGGGCACCATTGTTGAAATTGAGTATATACCCAATTCAAATGAGTATGAAACTTTTTCAATTACCTAGGTATTAACATTAACTACTTTACTAACTAGTTTAAAGCAAGTTTGAACTGAATTTGAACTTGTTTTTGTTAGATTTTGATTCTAGGTATATAGCATCCATACATATAATTAGTTAGGTATGTAATCATGGATTGTGAAATAAAGTTAAATTTGAGTTGTTTTGTTGATAAGTATAGGTATGAATCAAATTATTATAACTAGGTATATACTCACAATTTGAAAATTTTGAAAAATTTGAGTGATTTTGTGCATTAGATACCATGGTGCCCGGGCACCATGGTGCCCCATATGAGTGTCCTATATATATATATATATATATATATATATATATATATATATATATATATAGGCGTGTAGAGTTGCATGACATATGGTATATATGCTCGAGCTGCAGCAGAGAGCAAGCTGGGGTCGTGTCGACCGACACTCTAGCTAGCTCGATCGGTCGGTGTCAACCAATCTACTCCTATCACTTAGGTAGGTACGGGTGAGTACGTATATATGCGTGAGTGACGAGTCACGTATACCGTTCGTTCATAAAAAGTTTACTGAAACTGTAAGCTAGCATCTACAGTGGCTGAGAATTTTCGAGCTTCAGTACTACTGTACGTGACACTGTTTATATCACTGTCGCAAAAGAGAAAAGAGACCGTGTAGCACGAGGGAATGAGCAAGGCCGCGCGTTTAGATGATACCAAAATTAGAAGTTTGGTTGAAATTGAAACGATGTGACAGAAAAGTTGGAAGCTTGTGTGTAGGAAAGTTCTGATGTGATGGAAAAATTAAAAGTTTAAAAAAAAACTTTGAAACTAAACACGGCGCAAGTGAACAAGTGAACTATCGACTCGCCGATTATATAATCAACAAAGATATGTAGTAACACGATCGAACAGTCACATCTTCCAAAGGCCAAAGGACGCTACCTGTAGACTGTAGTAAGCATTTGAGTAAATTGCAGAAAAGTTGAAAAAAAAAACACATGCATTATACCCCTACTCGTATTGTGAAGTGTTTTATATTTTTTTAAATTATTGACGTGCAGCGCGCACAGTGCATTTACTTGAATTTTTCATCTTATAGGGTGTATATATTTTTTGTAAAAAAATATAACTTCTCAATATAAGTGATTTCCTTAATTCTTAATATTTGAACATGGTGGGGCTCTATGAAACCCTTAGACAAGTTCTAAACTTGATACGGGTGTTTACATTTACGGCTAATTATTCTCGTAAACAGCGAGATGCGTATAATGATCTAGGGAATCTCAAGATATATCAGTATAGTCTTCGGAAGTGTTTATAGGAGTAAGGTGTATGTGAGACTACGCGTGCACGTTTATAGGGATGATTGTATATATGTTTATATGAGTGCCAGCGTCTGTACTGTGTTTTCTTAAAAAAGACTGGTTATAGGTCAAAATCCAAAATACTCATGGTTTTCATAATTTTGACCGTAAAATACGTCTTTCTTCTGAAATTCACTTTTACTTTTTTTTTTTGAAAAAAAAATTGTGTCACACGAAAAATTTCCTTGGTAGGGGGGTTCACACGAAAAACGGCCTCCTCGCGGTCGCGCCGCGGCCCAGCGAAAGCCCGTGCTACGCAATGCAAAGCACGCGTCGCGGCGAATCTTTTGGGCCCATGCGCGTGCATGCGGTCCGCGTGATGCACGGCCTCACGGGCCGTTGAACGGATCGCGGATGATTCGGCCCGTGCCTCAATGGGCCGTGGGCCGCTAGGCGGCGCACGTAACGTACCAAGCGCTTTAGCCGTAACAAATTTTCGGAGTTTTTGATTTGCAATTCATGTTTCTATCTCCAAATCCTGGCAAATATGGTGTAGGTGGGCAGATAAAATTGTTGCGATGGGGACCAAAACATCAAAGGGGATATGAATGGTTTGTGACAGTGGAAGGTAGTTCGAAATCGTCTACATTTGTTGCGAAATCATTTACAATTATTCACCCGTGTACTTGCAAGATTTAGTATCTTACCTACCGAAAGGTAATTGTATCTTCAATACTTGCATTCAAATCTGAGTCGTGAATTGCATTTAACAGGATAAACTTTGTTAGCAAGGGTTTACTTTCATTTTATTATTACCAGTATTAATTGAGGGATAATAATTTGGCAAATGCATTTGTCGCCAATCTGATGGCCAAAGTTTGGCAAAAGTTTGGCATGATATTGCACGGAAAAGGAACCATCAAACAGAAAGTCAGAAACCCCACCGAAAGATGAGGGGGGCACTAATCATGCCGGTGCATCTAACAGCATTTTTTCCGTCTTAGCCGTTTGATGAACATTCAACCCTGCGCATCCTAATTTCGTGAGCACTCTTGAAAACCTATATCATCATTTATTTTGAGATTAACGAAATCATCATAGACGTTTCTCTAAATGCGAGAAACTGTGTCAAAACCATAACTTATGCCTAGATTGGCTGATTACGTCACAAGGAATCTAACCAGTTGAACTCGCTCGCTTAATATATATTGACACTTTACAAAATAAGGCTTATTATTTGACACGCCAATTGTCATTAACTCACATGGTTTCTTTCATATGCGATTTTTCACTTTAATACTTCACATAATCAAAAGTGAATAATGTCAAATCATCCAACTTTTTTCTCTTTGGCCCGGTTCAACAGGTGGTCCAAAAAAGGCGCAGAGATTCATTCACATCCAAGATTCCAAAGTTCAGAGAGAGAAGAGTTGCAGCTTGTACAGAACAAACAACTCATGAATGCCACTTCTTCCTTCCATGATATTACTATCTCCTGTGGCCTTCTGAATTTCTGCAAATTTGCAATCGAAGCCATCAACTGCTCATCCTCCTCCCCTCGCAAAACCTCTCCGCCTCAAACCCTCGCCGATCGATCGGCGGCTGGGCTTCTCAGGACGAACTGGGTGATTTGCCTCCTTCGTCTTCTTCTGTTGATAATTCCGCGGCATTGCGAGTTGTTTCTGTGTTTTCCCCCCTGATTTCGTTCGTGGTTTTGGTTTGATTGCGCCGTGGGATGCAGTAGGGTTTAGCGAGCGAGCGAGCAAGAGATCCCCCCCATCCATCCCGCGAGCGAGGGGTGGGGGCGCCGTCGTTCGTCGTCCGACGAATATCGCGGTGAGCATCCATCGTTTACGCGCTTCCTCTTTCTCATCCCTCTACAGTCACTACCCACGCGATTCTTCCTCCAATTTTTTGCGTTAATCCCTAACCTTATTATGTACAACTGTTCTGTTTATTCCGCAAAGCCCCCCATGTCCCATGTTAACGAAAAAGAAGTCCTGATTTTCTTAAGTATTTTATGCTCCTTTCGATTTAAGATAAGATTATTACAGTTAATTTGATTTTCGGTTGTGCTAAACTGCTACCAGTTCATATGTTTGATGGTGGACAGCATATTTCACATTGTCTAAAATGGCTCTTCTCATTTCAGAGTTACATCGAGTGATTATGTTTTCATATTAAAACTGGTACTAATTTGCCCAAACATTTTTTTTTATGTCAGGATTCAAGATGGGCACTTATGTTAGGAACTATTCAGATGATGAATTCTCTGTGGCTGGCGAGAAGCCAGATGTAGAGTTCATGGACTATCAGAATGATGGCTCTATTCAAGATTATTCACTCGAAGATGCCCCTGTGGTTGTCACGGTTCCTTTCCCTTTCATCGACGGCAAACCAAAATCTGTCCTTGTTGGAGAAACATCTGCCGACACCATTAGCATAGAAAATACCTCTTCTGAACCCGTGAATTTGTGGAGTGTGAGAATATTTTCTTCCAATCCAGAAGACAGTTATGTGCTTTCTATGATGAAACCACCACTGAATGATACTGATGAGGAAGCAAAGAGGAATTTTCTTGGTTTGACTTCTGTGGAAGATCGTACACTCCAGCCTGGACAAACCCTTACAATTTGGCTCTCCTGTACGCCAAAAGACATTGGTTTGCATACATCAATCGTCCATGTTGATATCGGTGATGAGAAAATCGAGCGTGTGGCTTTTCTATTGGCCGATGATAATGTTTCCCAGGCTTTATTTTCTGACAAACCCTATTCCAGGAAACACACTCAGAAGAAGAAGTTTGAGTGCAGTTCATTTGTGCCAGGTTGTCGACCAACTCGGCAGCATAGTCAAGGATTCAAGTTCAAGCTCCCTCAGTTTGCAATACCTGCAGACATCCGCGAACTCATTCAAAGTAAACAGAGACCTGATGTCCTATCTGAAGAGCTGAACATGACAAACTATGCAAAATTCTTTAGCACTCTTTTAGTCATGGAAGAGATAAATTTGGAGGTATTTCAACACCTGTAGTAGTCTTTAATTTTATGGTTTTCCTGCTTTGCTAACTTCAGTGCGCCACTCGCAGGAGGAGATGAGATCATATGACATGGAGCGTATCTTAATGAGGAGGAGGGGTCTCGAATTTTTGTCACTTGAGGTCCCTGGCTTGGCTGAGAAAAGGCCTTCACTAGTCCATGGAGATTTTATATTTGTCAGACATGCTGGAAGTGATGCTCGGCCTTATCAGGTTCATGTTCTTTCGTAGACATTCAAATATTTCTTGGGCATTCTTAAAGATGAAGTGAAGAATCAAAATTCTAACTGCTATCAATTAGTAATGATTTGTTTGCTTCTCCTCCAGGGTTTCATTCACAAGGTTGAAGCGGATGAGATATTTTTGAAATTTGATAATCAGTTCCACCTTGCTCACCGTGACAGGAATCAGTACGATGTTAGTTTCACATATAATAGACTGAACATGAGAAGGCTTTACAAGGCTATCCATGAAGCAGAACTTTTGGGACCTGACATTCTATTTCCCTGTCGATCATCCTCCGGAAGTGTGAAGAAGGGGCCGTTTAAACCTCTAAATCCACATATAAACACTGAGCAAGCTGATGCAGTTGCAACAATACTTGGCTGCCGAGGGGTTGCGCCATACGTGATATACGGACCTCCAGGAACTGGGAAGACCATGACCCTTGTGGAGTCTATTTTGCAGCTTTATACAGCCAAGAGGAGGGCAAATGTCCTCATATGTGCTGCTTCTAATAGTGCTGCTGACCATGTATTGGCAAAGCTTCTTCAGGCTAGCTATCTGATTCGACCAAGTGACATATTTAGGCTAAATGCTGCCAGCCGTCAATATGAGGATGTCGATCCTGATTTTATTCGATTTTGCTTCTTTCAAGATATGGTGTTCAAGTGTCCTCCATTGCAAGCACTATTGCGGTACAAGATAGTTATATCAACCTACATGAGTTCATCGATGCTGCAGTCTGAAGGCATTCGTCGGGGGCATTTCACACACATTTTTTTGGATGAGGCTGGTCAAGCCTCTGAACCAGAGGCTATGGTTCCTTTGTCGGGTTTGTGTGGAAGAGACACTGTGGTTGTGTTAGCAGGTGATCCCATGCAATTAGGGCCAGTGGTTTATTGTAAACAAGCAGAGAAGGATGGTTTGGGGAAATCGTATCTGCAAAGGCTGCTCTTTGAATACGAGCAGTACAGCACAGGGGATCCTAACTATGTGACAAAGCTAGTGAGGAATTATCGATGCCATCCAGCAATCCTGGAATTACCATCAGAACTTTTCTATGGGGGAGAATTAATTGCCTGTAAAGAAGATGAAGTGTCGTCTATTTATGACAGCATTGATCTTCCTAACAAGTCGTTCCCTGTTCTTTTTGTTGGCATTCAGGGATGTGATGAGAGAGAAGGAAATAATCCTTCATGGTTTAATAGGATTGAAGCTAGTAAAGTAGTAAATATCATTAGGAATCTGACAAGGGGTGGTGATGTTCGTGAAGCTGACATAGGAGTCATTACTCCATATCGACAACAAGTTGTCAAGATAAAGAAGGCACTTGAGACATTTGAAATGCCTGACTTGAAAGTGGGAAGTGTCGAACAATTCCAGGGTCAGGAAAGGGAAATAATAATCATCTCCACAGTCAGGTCTACAGTAAAGCATAATGAGTTTGACAAATTCTTCAACCTGGGATTCTTAAGCAATCACAGAAGGTTCAATGTTGCAATCACTCGTGCCAAATCTTTGCTAATTATCATAGGAAACCCTCACATTATCACTAAGGTGTGTTTGCGCACCGCATATTTATGGCTTTTTAAGTTTGATCATGATGTCTTGCTTACATAATGCAATCACTCCTTGCTTTTCTTTGCAAACTGACAAGCCTCACTGTAGGATCGGCATTGGGATAGGCTCCTGAGGTATTGTGCAGACAATGGTTCTTACCAAGGATGCCCACTTCCACCACCAGAAGAGACCCAAGTCTCTGGATTTCGTGACAGCCAAGACGAACCTGCTAGGTGGGGTTACAACCAACAACAAGAGTCATCTGCTAACTACAGCTACAAGCAAGACCCACACGACTCTGGTTCCGAACATGTAAATGGTTTGCCCTCCACTGAAAATGAAGTGGAATGGTCTGAGAAGACGCTGAATGAGGAGCACCAGCCATGTAGCAGTGCTGCTGAAGCAGACTCTCCTGAGTTCATGCTGAAGCAGAAGGCTGAGGAAGAGGAACATGTTGAGCAAGATGGCGTACAGCCTGAGCAATGTCCAGCCAAGGACAACAAACTCCAAGATGCGTATGCAGCGAAGTACTCCTTTCCTCCTGAATGGTGTGATGTTTCAAATATCCCTGCAACAGGATGGGATGATTGATCGGCCCGGTGAGTGGCCGCCTTTTTTTTTTTTTCCACAAGAAAGTATTTACCTAGGTGCATCTGGTCGAATAAATCGATATCAACCTTGTAAGGACTAACATTCAGGCACTCTGTAGCCTTTCCTTGAAAGGCTTTCAGCTCACCCTCAGTCCCATTCTTCTGTCTGCAGTCTGTAGCCTTCCCTTGGATTTCTTGATGCCATTATCTACCTGGTGTTTGAGTATACGGGAACAAATATGTTCCTGTGAAAACTCCGAAACTGATTATCTTGCTAGCTATGGCAATATATATAGCATCCTCACTTGCTGTTATCATGAGTATATTTACCCTGTCTCAGGTTGCAGCCTGTGCTGATTATGTGCCATGGCTTAGAATACATGCAGTTAATACTTTTTAGAACGTAGATAAAAGTATTTAAGATTTGTGGGATAAAGAATTCATCGACGAATTTTTCGTCCTTTTTTTCCTGTTACATTTGAATGACTAGTTGGATAGAATGGAGATAGTAGTAGGACAAGTGCATGTGGTGATCATGTGGGAAGATTGGAGAGCAATCAGTATCTGGTAGGAATTGGTGCTAATCTAGTTTCTGATGGATGAAGGGTAACAGACATTTGTGAAGAATCATTGAGGTAGTTGATTATTAGTCTTCCGACAGATTCATAATTGTAAAGAGACTAAGAGCATCAAGCATCTATGGTGTTGTGATTTAGTAAAGCTTACTCACAAAGGGCATACCAAAGGTGGGGCCTTCAGCAATGAAACCTTGCAACTTGAGGTCCTTCCCTTCTTGTTCTTGTTCCTCTTTCAGTTGTTCTTCAGTTTCTTGCACACCCACCTCTTCCTCAAGTTTGTTGTTTTGTCAGTATCAAGCATGCTGCTTACTCTGGCACACTGCAATGCTACAATGAGCAGAATGAAGCTCTGAGTTGAGATTTTTTTTTATTTATCAACCTTTTTATTTTTATTTTAAAAACAAACCCTCTAAAAACTTGTTTTCAAATTTAAACTTTTCGGCCAGGATAACATTGCTAGCGTGGCAACATTGTCCTGCCATGTGGTCAAAAAGTTTCAAATTTAAAAATAAGTTTATCGGGGGTTTAGTTTTAAAGTTTAAAATCAATGAGGTTCATTTTTTTTAAAAAAAAAAACTAAATTGATGTGGTGTGCTCTCATTACACTCGTTTCTGTTGTGTTTAGCTTTCATGTTGGCTATCAAATGTAGATCGAAAGCAGTAAACTGCCCTCTACACGTAGAGAAGAAAAGAAGACAAGCTTTCTTTGTGTGCTCCATTCTCCCATTGCACTTCTTCGTGTTACCAGTGTACCATTGCCCTGTGATCTTGGGACAAACAAACAGTGGTGTCAAGCATGTCCAGAGACCATCAAATTGACAGCTGGTGTTGCCATTCTCCATTGGGGATGCTGAATCAACCCAGCTGTACAAAATGACACCAAAGAAGGGATTTGCATACTTGGACCAATAAGTATCACCAACCTTTGCAGCTAATCAATTAGTACAGATATCCATTATACACACTTTGAAACTACTTGATGCAATAGAGTTTCTTCTGCAGTTAGGTTAGGCTGTCCAACCAAGCTCCCCAAGAGCTGTGTATTCTAGCATTTGGAACAGATGGTAGGGTACTGGGTCCTACATTGATGTAGAAAAATGAAACCTGAGACAACCTGAGTTATCTTGGCCTCTGTTTTGGATAATGAATAATTAGCTCATTTAAGTCCAAGATGAACTGATCTTGTCGACGAAAACCCGGTTAAGAGGCAAAATCAGATGTGTTTTCGTCATAATTTTTTCACAGGTTATGAGCATGATTCAAACCAAGTAACAACCGATCCGACAAGGCCAGGTGTGTCGTGTTATGAACAGCGGCTGGAATCCAGCAGAAGGGGGCCAAAAAGTGTTTGTTCTTGGTGGTCCAAAAACGATAGCAACTACGTTGTTCTGCATGGTCCCTGCTCAAGCTTTATGAAACATGAAGAGAACAAGAATCGGGAAGAAATCTTTGTTGATTATGTCTTCCTACCCACTTGGTGCTGGAATTCTGTTCCAACAGTTTCTTATACAACTTCAAACATTCATATTAAGATTACTTAACAACAAACAAAATATTAAAAAAAATCTGGTAAACTACCCTGTCGTCAGAAAACTACTCATTGTGATTTCTAAGCCAAAGGTTTAGGTGAGTACTTCAGCAACTTCAGTTTGACAAATCAGTCGTGTAAGCTTAAAAACATGCATATCAAGGAGGTCAAGTAACTACAGCCATATTCTTTTGATTTTATTTACCGGATTATTGAAACAGATTATTTGTTCCATGCTTCAAAAAATATGTTTTCTTTAAAAAAAAGTCCTTGTACTGCATTGCTTAGATCGCTTAATTTAAGCTTTTTGTTAAGTTTGTTTCTTAAAAATATTCATTTTATCACTACAATAGAGTATAATCCGCTCAATAATCTAAATAAAATTAGGCCGCAAAACTTCTCAGGGCCAACTGTAAATCTGCAAATTTGGAACCATGCAAGAATTTCCAAAACCGAGCAAGATTAGCAAGAATGTTCAGGTTCCAAATCAAGCCAAGGCAGAGTTAGGTGTCACTTTCCATGAGCAAATGGCACAGTACTAGAGCCAGAGGCCCAGAGCTAATTAGACCACTACTGAATAATGACACTTTCCACTTGGATGATGCATCACAGTTACAGATTCAAAGCCCCATCGGTTGGCCTGATAAACCAAAGCAAAAGCCAAAATTTAAATTTCCGAATTTGATTTTAAGATATTTTCAACGTAAATTTCTTTTTAAGTATTGGCTTGTAAATCGCTATGAACAAATATATAAAAAATTTACCTATAAATTAATGTTTTAACTTATTAGGGAATATGGACAACCGATGAGTCTCTCGGAGTACAGCCACAGCCATAGCCCCAGAGCTAAGCTCAGGTAAAGCCTATAAACTAACATGCCGTGCCAGCATTTCATTTCAGAACAGAAGTTCAGAGAGAGAGAGAGAGAGAGAGAGAGAGAGAGAGAGAGAGAGAGAGAGAGCTCATCTCTTCTCTGAATTATCGGCAATGGAGGTGGAGTCAGCGGAGTGCGAGTGCTGCGAGCTGAGGGAGGAGTGCACCAGGGGGTACATCCTCGGCGTGAAGGCCGACTTCGGCGGGCGGTGGCTGTGCGGCCTCTGCTCGGAGGCGGTGAGGGACGAGGCGGCCAAGCTTGGGAGGAACAGAGGCGGCGGCGGAATGGAGGAGGCTGTGAGGGATCACATGTCCTTCTGCGGCAAGTGCAGGAAGAACCCGGCCTTCCGGGTAGCCGACGGCATGCGCCAGATGCTGCTCCGCCGGCGATCAAAGTGATGACACATATTGACATTGCACTTGCATTTGCGTCAATGCGTGATGTTTTACCGGCAATTGATCATCATCATTATCATCATCTTCTTCTTCATCTTCATCTTGTAATCGAGTTCTGAGCAAGAAGACATGAGCAGGTCGTCAGTATCTCTGAGCTAGAGTTCATTCAAGTAAAATGTAATTAGTGTAATAATCTAGCTAGATTGACTGTCAGTCCTGCCTGAGCTAGCAGTTGAAGGTTATTTTTTGCTGATGATGGAGCAAAACTGGAAGTGGATAGAACTTACACGGTGGAGGATTAGTAGAGGGTTGATGTAGAACTCTTCGTTTAGAGGATGTGATCGAAAATGTGATCAAGTACTCATTGTTCTATGTCTTGCAACGAATTGCCATTTCTCTCTGAAATCACAGAAAGTTCTGCTCTTTTGGCTCAGTTCTTGAAGCTAGCAACCAATCGTCGAGATAAGTGCTTTATGCTTAAGAGTTTTCACGTGAAATGTTGCCAGCATGAACCTTCAAATTGAGACGAAGCAATGCAAAGTAGAAGCATTTCCCCGTCTCTTATGGGTTTTTTTTCTTCATGAGCTCGGAATTTCCTGTTGATAGTTGTACATTTTGTTTGAAATTCGTCCGCTTCGAACAGGGCTTGTACTGTACACTAGGCAAAATGTTATAATAGGATGAGACTAGTTCTCAAAAAAGAAAAGGGCGAGACTACCATTTGGTTCAAGTTCCAGCATCTCATGATATGCCATCCCGTGCGGTTGACGCTAAGAGAATCGGAGAAAGATTCCTGGTTGTTAGCTTGCTGTCATGGGATACACAATTCACCCTCATCAATCTCAAGAGATGTGATGTACATAATTCAGACTGTTCATCTTATTCTTATCAACATGAGATGGCATTCTCGTACATGGATATTAGCCATGGAACATCAATCTGGGATGACCCAGAAGGTTGCAAGTAAAATTTGGGTGTGTATAAAAGTTAACTTCCCTCTAGGATATATTGACAATTTTGCGTGCAGCAAAGTCTCCAGAAGCATGAAACCATGTTACACGATCAACCCAGCACAAACGCAGAACGAATATGATCAGGAGTATGCAATGAGGTTGACATGTCAAATTCAAGATAAAGCAAGTCCCATGAACTAAGGCAGGAAATTAACAGTTCACGTTAATTCTGTTCAGGAGTAACTCTTCAGCAAGTATATAATAACCTGGTCACCCATCAATCATCAAGACCACATCAACTGGTGAAAAGCAGTTCACATTGCACATATAAGAAGTTAAGTGCTACAACATTAACATCCAAATATATCATAAAAACTCGGAAGGCAGTGGAAAAAGGTCTACTTTTAAGTATTAAGCAAGCTGATACAAATAGCCAGGCAGGTACTACACTGCCAGCCCAAATAGACACTACGCTAATGTATCAAGACATCGACAAAATGTTATAACAAAAACAGTACCAGGTACAACTAGCCAAGCAGGCACTACACTGAATTGACGTTCTAGCATATGTGCTGCCCGTCGACTACGAAGATTATTCAAACTTGATGGTGGCTACGAGCTCCAGGGATGAATACCATGAAGCGCACTGTGATAAGCAAACCTGTAGCACCACAGCACAGGATCACATTAGCATTAGCCAAAGAGATCAGCTGCATAAGAGTAACACAACAAACAGAAGATAGTTACCGTATTTGGGTCTGCATGCTCAAAGGTCTCTGAAGTCTGGCTTGTCCATCATATAGAAGAGAGTAGAACTCCAAATACGTTTCTTGGACATAAACAAGGACTAGGAATTATTGATGGTGCCCTAAAAAAGGCATAACACTACTAGACACAATTCTAGTTGTAGAGGCATGAAAGAAAGATAGGAGAGGTCTCACATGGTAGCTATGGAACAAACTAAAGAAAAGGAAAGGTGCATGGATAAAATTAGTAGTGTCATATGGAGCAAGAACATGGAAGATTGGAGCTTCATGAAATCCCACTGCGCCTCTTCCTTCCAAAAAACAGAAGAGACATCTAGGAGAGATCATAATGTTCCTTGCAGAACACCAGAAGCAAGAGTAGAGTGAGCCAGAGGAACCAAGGAATGTCTACAAGGTGAAGCAAAATGCATGCACTGCAAGATATTGCTATCCTACAGATATTTCACACATGGATAGCTGCCAGATAATCAGATGCAGACATCTAAGCATTTGAACAGTACTAAGACACTATCATACCCTGCCAGGCATGAACTACCAGGAACAAGGACAGACTACGACTAAAGGTTAATGATGTGAGACCATGGATAATGGTGATCTAAAACCTAAAGAAGGAATACCCAAAAGGCTGAAAGAACATTAGTAACATAGAGGTGACCACAAGCTACAAAGGCTACCCAGAAACTGCTGTGCTCTCATCCAGACAACCAACAGTCTCACCACCAAGTCATTCACCGCAGTTTCACGCTGCCATGCATACTTGAGGTGCTTTGCCTGCCTGAAGTACCTCCTGTTGATGAACTATGCAGAACCACCATCCAGGTGAAAGATGGCCATTCTCGGTTACTCTATACACACTACCAAGGTTAGTTTGCAGATAGCCTATGTACAAGGACCTGCCCATCATCCATTCAGTGATCAGCGATTTTCAGGTGGAGGATTCTCCTCAGATTCTCAGTCGCGATAGCAGTATCACTATCACTAAAGAAGCTGACACCTGAGCCTGCGGTTGGCGACGAAGGCGCTGACTTAGCATGCAAAGGCACCACCACATCATCTGATCGGCCAGCAGGTGGCAACTCGAGTGAAACACTGCGCTTCTGGTGGAGTGAGAACTTGGGTATCGGCAGCGAGCTGGGAGGCGGAGAGTTTGAGAAAGCGGGGCCAGCCCAGAGCTCAGGCCGGGATGGCGGAGACGTTGAAGGGCTTATAGATATTGCCCTGCTCCGCTTCTTCCCGTGGTGTGGCTGCGACTTGGGCGTCTTCGGCTCCGGGGAGGAGTAGGTGCGCGCTGGGGGTGGAGGCGGGGATGGCAGGATGCCAATGCTGACGCTGGAGTGGAAGGCTCGGCAGTTGACAGCATTGAAGCCACGCATGGACTGGGGTGACGCGAAGTGCGACGATGGCTTCCTCCGGCGATCGGATGACTGCTGCTGGTGACTGCGCTGCTTCGAGATGACGAGAGCAGCCATGGCCCGAGGAACAGGTGAAGGTGGTGGAGCTGAGCGCAAAAGCCCAAGACTTTCCTGTGCAACTCACGAAGCTCGAGCAGCAGATCCCACGAAGCCCTAGTACCAAACAAATCAAACGCGAACACATCAAAACAAGCGATTTTGATCTCGGAACTATCAGCAACAATTATATTACACAGCAAATGCAGCTCTAATGCGAAAACAGTAATATAAACGAGCAAAATATGCCCATTTCATCGATCTACAGTTAGTTACCTTCCAGATCTACAGCCCAAGGAGCAGATCGAAACAAAATCAAGCACAGAAATGGCAGGTCTCCTAATCAGATCGATTCGATTCGCCTCCACACTTCACTCCTCTCCTTCACCGTCCCCAAAACACACCCTGCATCCACGAATCGCGCCGCCATCCAATATCAAAAAAAAAAAACCCGCCTCAAATCAGAAACCTCGAAACACACAGCTCCCAAACTCACCGATCCCCGCCGCGCAAAAAGAAAGGCAATCGCACCGATCCGAGAGAGAGAGAGAGAGAGAGAGAGAGAGAGAGAGGTATCCACGGGACCGTGGGGACGAGGCGGGGGCGATCGGGGCGGGATCTGGCGGCGGCGGCTGCGCTCCCCGTCGAGATCTGCCTCGCGCGCGCGGCGGAGAGGGTGGTTTGCGTTGAGATGGGGGTTAGTGGATGGTGGAAGAAGGGGGGAAAGGGCGAAACTACTGGTCGAACTAGTACTAATCAACTACGGACTTGAAACGGGACGGCGCAAAGCCAGGTTTAAGAGAGAGCCGGACGCGTCCGGTCCACGTCACGTGCCTTTGGGTATGGGGGATGGGATGTGAGCCGTTGGATCTGGGCGGCCGGCGGGAACGGACGGTGATTATGCAGGACGCGTGGTGGGGTTGGTTGGTGTGTGTGATAGTACTAGGGAAGTGGGAAGAGTGGGCTCGGGAGTTGCGAATAATTTCGGGGGATGCCACTGGGCCGTGAACTACAACAATCAACAGGTCTTACCGTCAGGTCAGGTACGGCAATGGTTTGATTTTTTTTTGGTTTGATGAGCTAAGCTCACGGTCCTACCTGCTCCGTCCGATCAACCCTCAAATCGATCCTAGCCGTTCGATGACATTCAAGCGTAGAAAAAAAATAAACTTGGTTTTAAAGTTGATTTTAAGGTTTTTCATAATAGTTTATTTTCCTGTATTAGCTTTTAGTCGCTAATAACAGAAAAAAAATTACCGATAAGTTGTTTTTATCGAGTGTTACAGCTATAATTAACGAAATGAATGTGCTGGTCTGCTGGAGTACTGTTACCATCATGTTCATATACTGCATTCGAATTGCAAGTTTAAAAAAATTGCATATTACAACATTTTTAACTTCCAAGATGTCATGTTCTGCAGCAACAATTATCCAATCCACTTGTAAACACAGTCAGACACAGATCCTTCTTAATCCAACGCCACGAGCTCTCACTGCTTTCCAGAGGGCTCGAATCCAAAAGGTTTTACAAAGGCAAACTGGGAACATGAAAAATGAGATGCCACAGACTGGATTTCTTCTTCGGGTCATCGTTTTGGTCGATGACTATAGTCTCTATACATACTCTACTGCTGGGTTCTTTTGTCGCGGCAGCAGGGATGTCTACCATTAGGGCCGCTAGAATCTACAGTGCGCCCACATTTGCAGACTTGAACAAACTTAACAGCAACAATCATCAATAATTACTCACAATTTTGAGAGTGGAATGCCCCTCAACATCAAGGGGTGGAAGAATTCACCCATATTTCTTGAGGCACAGGAGGGCTCTGGGACTCCTGGTGAGAAGGGGTTACTAGCCTTTGGACAGTCTTCAAAGCACTGGTTAACTGTGCAAACGAGGGCCGCAAATTTGGATCCCTGAGGTTTAAAAACCAAATATTAGCTCGGATCTAGCAACACAATTGATAGTTGGAAGAGAGTACTTTATTGATGCAACATAAAATAGGTTTGTTTCTAAACACTCACTTCTGCCAGCATTCCCATATGATCCTTGCAACTAGAGGATCAATTTCCTTGGGAATATCGAGCCGCTTGTCCTGGAAGCCGACTGCCCCAACAACTTGCATTGGATTCATTCCACTCCATGGCATCCTAAGTGTTGCTAATTCCCACAAGATGACACCAAAGCTGTAAACATCACACCTGCAGAAATTTCAGGTGATGTCTGAGTGAGATTACTGCCACACCAATCAAACAAGGAAAGCTGAAAGGTTTGTGAGGGAGATGGGTGTTCCATTTCTACGAGTAGAGACTGGAAGATAAACATAATTTCTTCTGTAATGCTGAACAACTTTGAATGGTATGCCCAGAATGAAAAAATAAATTGAACAAGCTAGGGCAAAAGCTAATAGTTATTGAAACAAAAGCCATCGAGGAATAACTTACTTTTCATTTGATTGTTCATTCCGCAAGACCTCAGGTGCCATCCACTCCGGCTGGTGAGATATCGAAAACAGAAATAGTAAATGTTTAGTGATGATCAAAGAAGGAGAGAACTCATCCTACTATGGTCCGGTTTAGTACTTACAGTTCCAGCAGTGGATTTGGATGATAAGAATGTACTGTGCTTCAAGCGTGAAAGTCCAAAATCACAAACCTATTTCACATCATTGGTGAGCCAATCGATCAGCACGCTCATAAATACTTATGACTGAATGAATGTAAAGGTAAAAAGAGCACAGTACCTTCACATTCCAGTTGTTGTCAACCAGCAAGTTTGGTGATTTAAGATCCCGATGAACAATTGTTGGTACACTAATATGGAGGCAATTCATTCCTTTGGCCTTTAAGAGAAAGCAACCATTTTCTCAAGCAGATACAAAAATAAACAAACATGCCAAGAAAATATAGAAAATACTTACCACATCAAGGGCCATTTTAATTCTACGCTTCTCGTCAATTTGGCAATTAGGACGGTGAAGGATCTTATATAAGCTTCCCCTGCCAAGGACAGGAGAGTAGTCAAGGGTGAGCCATCAATTCGTCGAACATGACCAGTACAATAACTATAGAGCATGAGTTGCACTATAATATAACTACTATAGATAGATGCCAGTATGCCACCTCCCATGCACAAGTAAATCATTAAAGACAGGTATTTCAACTACAGCATGTTGAACCTCCAGTGTTATGTTCCATTCTAAAGCTAAGTTGTTGAGAGAGCTTTTCTTTGTGGTCCTTCCAGATAGAATGTTTTCTATGTTTATCTACACCATGATACTTTATCATAAACACCAAAAGATCTTCACAAGCAAACAACAGTAGAAAATTGTTATACCTTGGAAGATACTCAGATACAATAGATAAGTTTGGAGGACGAGTAACAGCACCCATGAAGAGAACAATATTTGGATGACGCAGTCGACGCATAATCCGCACCTTGTAAAAAGAAAGTATATGGCAAATCAAAACATTGCAGCAAAAATCAATTAAAAATGACAAATAAATGAATCCACGCTATAGCCAGTAAAGCTCTAAGATATATAAAATATATATAGTTTCACCTACTTCACTCCGGAATTCATCCAAAGCATCACCATAGAAATCTTGATCCAAGAATTTCTTGACAGCTACTTCCTGCAAATAAACAAAAATGTTTTTTGACAGAAGCAAAACAATAAAGAATTTAACCTCTGGGAAGAATGTTTCTATGGCACAATATGGAAATAAAAGCAAACAGTTTCTTACTGTTCCATTCCAATCAGCACGGTACACCTCTCCATATGAACCTGTTGGGAGGAGGAAGAAGTTGGTTCAAGTTTGTGCAACAAATTGGCATCAGATAGTGCAATGAGTTTACACATGGCTGAGCTATAATAATATAGTTTGACAAATTGTTAAAGATTTGTCGGTTCAACTTGTTAATGTATAGAGAAGCAAGGATCATGTCAAAATCTTAGTTGAGGAAAAATACCTAAGCCAATCCTTTCACCAATCACAAGATCTTCCCAATGAATTTCACATTCAGACACATCGTCGAACATGGTGTCTAGCTTGTGTGACCTAGCAAAGGATGGTGAAACGGATTCAGGGTTCCTTGATGGCATTGATGTGTCCATGAATCTGTCAAGTGGGGATTTCTTTGGATCAGGATGTAACTTCTTATTGTCTTGCTTTCCATCGAAGTTCTCCTTGTGTTCTTTTGCTTGATTGTGAACTGTGCCTGTTGGAATCCTTCCTTCTACAGAATTGCCCCATTTATGTCTTTCTATCGGTGGTTGATCCCCCAGTCTAGAATTAGTAAGGCCCTTGTCCAAATCACCGTACAGAACCTTATCAGGAACCTTCCCAATCCCAGCTGTAGAAGTCATCTTCATTGCAGAGGAACCAGCCATACTATTATCATAATTATGAGCTGCCATGTATGGTGTATCAGTGCGCACTACAACATTAAGATTAGTATTTTTTGCAGATGGCCGTGGCACCTGAGATGATGATGCAGCATTATCACCAATATTTCTACGTGCAAATGAATCCTCAACATAATTGTACTGCTTGTTGTTGGAAACATCATTGTAAGGAGACCAGTTTTTCATAACTAATCGCTGCTGGGGTCTTCGTGTGCTAGGGACTACATTCTCTCTGCGTCTTTGCAACTCATTATTTCTATTATCTGGCCCATTTAATGGCACTGAAGTCCTTTTGGGCTCCCTACCCCCAAAAGGATTAAGGTCGGCAAATAAGTTGATGGACTCTGAATTCCCTTGTAAATCTGAAACAAGTTTTATATTCTCATTTCGCGCATTTATATTCTCATTCCATGGATGTTCTCCACCTGGAAGTATAACTTTCTGCTGTGCTGACATACCAGCAGAGGTTGATGGATCATCTGATTGTCCATGAGAAACTAATGTCCAAGAACTATCAAAAGCGCTTCCAGCAGCAACAGATGTTGTGCCACTTGAAGAGGCCTGTGAAGATGTGGTGGCTCCATCTTTTTCATATCCAGATTGACTGGCCGATATCCAATCGCCACTGCTAAATAAAGGCAGTTGGCCACCTTTATGTCCGGGTGGTAATGCATTGGCACTGAGATTAGAATCAGTTGTACTTGATGACCCAGCCAATGGATTCTGGGTGAGTCTTGCATTAGAATTTAATGAGTTGCCCTTCCAACTTAAGACATCTGATGGAATAAGAGTACCGGGAGCAGCCATGAGATCAACCAAAAACTCCCTGCAAAAACAGCACATAAACCCACTTAGAAAATGTAAGGCAGCAATACCAAATTATTTAAAAATATATTTGAAACAAAGGTAGCAGACGAATAAATAAATAATGTATTTGGATTGTTTTCCCCATAGTAGAAAAAACCAGACCGGACCGGCGGTTCGACCGGAAAAAAATGGGAACCAGACCTTAGCACGGTTCGGTTTGCTTCAAAGACCGGACATGCATTCAAACCGCTTTGAACCGGCTGAACCGGCCGGTTCTTAGGCGAACCGGACATTAAACCGATACTGGTTGGACAGGTCAACCTGCAAATGGGCCATAAATGGGCTGCCTGAGGCCCATTTCATCAATGCTTGCTGTGGCTGTCCCCTTTTTTTCCGCAAAATTGGCAAGGAGTGGCGCATTTGGTGGGAATCGAACCCTGGGCAGTGTGCTCACGGAAGGATGGCCTAACCCTTATGCTATTGCACCATATGTGAGTAGGAGGGAATAACAATATACATGTACACATGTGAACCGTGGTTCAACCATC